AGTGTATAACTCGCACAGTTCTTGACGATGAGCGTTAATTATTGCTTGGTTTCTCAGAAACTGCTAATTACCGCTCATCGTGCAAAATCCTGTATACTATTCCGCGATATGCACTAGATTCTTGCTTGAAACTGATACGAACACTTTAAGAAGACCGACCGTACTCGATGACATCTAACACGAGACTGACACGATTCACCACTTCGTCCCGAATGACAAATTAGTTACGTCACCTTTCTATCGTATCAATTCCCGAACAAGTATTTATCTATGACTAATAATAATAATAATGATTGTATCTGAAGTATACGGGGAGATAGGATAAACATGGAATAATATACTACTGTTATACAGGGTCTTTTGAGACGATCATCTCAACTTAAATATTGCGAACTTTTGGCGAACTTTCTAATTTCTGATGAAATCTAGTTATCTTTGTCCCAACCTAAAACTCTGAATTATTATTGAGAATTTCACAATTCACATTTTCTGACAATTATAACAGTCTGTATTTCGTATCGTTATCATAGTAACTGAACAAATTTCCAGAAATTTTTTCCTCCTTAGGGGGAAGGAGCATTAAATTACACTGGAAGATTTCCCATCAGGAATGTATAATTGGACTAAAAATGAATTCATTCAGCACGTCATGAAAGCATTGTATAATGCGGAGTTATTCGGTCTTGTGAGAAGACTAAAACTTTCATTATGGATTGATAAATTCATTTGTGTTCCTTGGAGTAAGAAATCGATTAATTTTCTCGCAAAGTATCTATCACGTGTTAGGGAATATTGAAAACACTCACCAGTATAAAATCTGCATATAGTCCACATAAGAACACTTCACAAAACACCGACACAACACAGAATAACGCGATGTAATCACTATACCGAAGGATGTATTTGAAAGAGACAGACTTATCGCTCTTTTTAATAAACACAGTTGAAGAATTAAAACATCAGCTCTTTTTCTACGGCTATATAGCACAAAATTGCTATTATTTCACAAAATCTCATCTCTCAGGAAATGTCACATTTCAAGCAATGACAGATCTGTCTAATAGATGAACATGACTTAAGAGAAAATCAGATGGCTACAAGCCGAAGAAATCAAAGATTTCGCTGTTATCTGTGACAGCCGTAGAAAAAGTATAGTGTATAACTCGCACGGAATGCTGATTTCTAATCTAAATGACTATAATCTGTGCTCGTTAAACAATACAGGGTGATTCACAATGAGCGTTAATTAGACGGTTCTGGCAAATCTACACATATCTAAAATATTATGAACGATGGGGCGTCGCCGCTTCTACTAGAAAGTAGCAGCAAGTTTTTGTTTTTCAAATGGAACACCCTGTTTTTCATTGCATTTTCTGATTCTTCCTGAAGAGCTGATTTCATGAATGTATCACACTTGGGGTCTAGCACGGAAAATGAAAGAGATATAGGGTGTTTAAAATCGACATTTATCAACTCAAGGATTTTTTTCTGATTTCTTGATTTTTTTGTGGCGAAACTATTCATTATTTGTCGAAACGACTTACATGTCCCTATTTTGACAGTTGATTTAATAGTTACTTACATTTAATTGGAACATAATATACAGTGATCAGAATTATGAATCCATCCTATTTTTGTTCCAAATAAATGTCGGTAGATAGTAAATCAAAAATTGAGATAGGGGTATGGAAGCCGTTTTGACCAATAATGGGTTTCGACAAGGAAAAATCCTAAAGTAAAAAAATCTCGATTTTGAACATCCTATATATCTCTGTAATCATTTCCGCTTGACCCCAAGTGTAATGCATTGATGAAATCAGCTCTTCAGGAAAAATCTGAAAATGCAATGAAATATAGGGTGTTCCATTTGAAAAGTCATTGCCAGAAACGTCTAATTAAAGCTAATTGTGAGAAACCATGTATACTATTTCGCGATATGCACTATAGTGACTATAGATTCTTGCTTGAAACTGATACGAGCACTTTTAAGTAGACCGTACACGATGACATCTAATATAAGACTGACACGATTCACCATCTCGTCCCGAATGACTAATTAGTTGCGTCAACCTTTCGATCCTATCAATTCCCGAAACAAGTATTTATCTATGACTAATAATAATAACAATGATGATATCTGAATTACACAGGGTGGTAGGATGGAACATGGATATAGAGGATGGAACAGATATACAGGGTCATTTGAAACGGTAATCTCAACTGAAATGCGAACTTTTGGTCAACTTTCTAATTCCTGATGAAATACAGTTTTTTTCGTATCAATTTATAACTCTGAATTATCATTGACAATCACATTTGAGAGATACCTATAGGTGGAAATTAGAAAATTACATTTGATACATCACACATGTTAATTACTTGCCGGTTCAATTCCAACTCTCTGAGTTACCATTTTTCATTCGACTAAATTGGTGAAATAAATTTCAAAATTGAATTGAATGAAACAGGAGAATTATGAACTAACACGGTGTTATATTATTGCTCTGATCAAGAACTATGCATTATTGTTATGGAAACGAATCATATTCCAATCTAAAATATAATGAAGCTAAGTTCATTAAATAGTTAGGATGAAAGGGTAAATTTTGTTTTTCCTCTGTAAGCCATCAGCTTTTCTTGGAAACTGAAATTCAGGATAATATTCAAAGTCTTGAGTCTACAATTTCACCAAAATCGGAAAGAATTATAAAAGTTACAGGACGATCGATTTTGTATAATTTTTTGGCCGGGTTTTTATGCCGGTGAGTGAAAGTTGGCTCTCAAGGTGAACTATTTTCTTTATTTTTCGTTCGTGGAATTTGAAGACTATATATTCTACGCCAATTATTGTACAATCTGTATTATTATCACATATAATTACACAAAAGCAATAACTGTGGAAAGAAATTGAATATTCAAAGTGGCCGTCGTTGGTCATTGTATAATAAACACACAATTCACACATACTTTGCAAGTACATACGGTGTCGAAATATCTGACAAATCATACACAGACGTTTATTTCATTGACATTCACTTCCACATTCAATGATAACATCTCAAAATTCTATACAGCTATCCTGAATTTTTACGAAATATATCGGAAATTTTTAACTTCTTGTTTACTAAAATCAATATTTCTAAAAAAAACATCATTTTCAGAAGGCGCCAATAAAAATTCCTCTTTTTTTGCTATCCTCAATGAGCCGAGAGTCTCTACCCCTCCCCCTCATACTTCTCCTGAATCCGCCTCTGAAATGGTGCCCTTGTAGAAGTTTGTGTTCTCATCGACAGATGTTTATATGTTTTTTTCATTTCTCGGAGCACACGAAAGGAAATCACATAATGAAGAATATATTGTGCGTACTTAGGAAGGATAGGGAATAAGGTAGGTATTGGAATTTTTCCTGAAGAAATTCTGGAAATAGGTTCTGGAAATACTTCCTTTGGCAAGGGATTCGAAACTTTCGCCGCTATATAGACGAATGAGTTCTAAAGAGTTGTTCGACATATATTTCGAGGTTGATTATTAAAGGATGTGCTGACTGGGTTGTCAAGTACGTCTGACAGTTGATGTTTGATTTTGATGAGAGGACCTGTGACACATAGTACAAATTAACCTGAACTATAGGGTCCCTTGATGACAACTGACGTATTTGTCATCTATATAACATCAGGGTATGGACAGATCATTGCTCCTTTCTCTTTTAATCATCTAGTGACTGTGGTTTCGTGTATTGGCGTCCCTGACATGACATTGCTCTGTCACGTCACATTTATAGGCGTTACAAAATTTCAATTTCATGCTTGATTACGGCATTATTCAATTCTGTTTTGGAAGGATGGTAAAATGTGCTGCGTTAGGCTGTATCAATCAGTTGGATGGCAAATTTGAATTTGTCAGCTTTCCATCAAATGCAAATGGACTTAGAACATAGAAAGTGAAGTGACCGAATGGGGAAAATTGGTAAATACATCAGCAAAATATTCGAGGTATAAAACTAATACGGAATCACATATTATACTTTCTCATTGTGCCTATAATTATTATCCACTCCACAAGTTTTTGAATGCATTTTAGTAGAAACAGTTTTGATCAAAACGAAGAGGATTAAAAGAAGGGGCATATGCCCTACCATTTAAAAAATTATACCTTCAGGAGATATTAAGTGTTCGTGAAAAACTGCAAAAATGATTCCCAACATGAATATATTTAGCACAAATGACATATTATGAGCACATTATAGTTTGAATACCTTTATACAATTTTTCACCTTTTCTCAACCATATAAGGCTCATAGTATGGGATCAAAATTAATTTATTGATAGGTAAGTACTGCCTAAGAGCAGTACCATTTGGTGAAACGTATTCAACTTTCAGAAAAATTTGCTCACTGCTTCACAAAGATTATGTTGGAGTTGAAAAATCAAAAACTCGAAAATTATCATCATCATTTGGATACAGTTTATGTAGAGTTGAATGAGAAATTACATGTGGAAATCACGTATGATACGCCAATGTCCTCAATATAACCTAAAAAACAACAAAAATGTCAGAAATCTAGTGTTTATCCCCAGAGATGAATAAAGATGGAAATATATAACTGTTTCAAGAACACTTCAGTGTGAGAGGAGACGAGGATCTGTCCGTACCTTGTTAAGATGACAAATACGTCAATTTAATTCAAGGGACCTTAACCTGAACTACAGTCAGAGCAAACTGCCGTATAATAGTTACGCCACTGTTCCTTAAAATCAGCATCTGCTATATACCGACGCCGTTTATTTAGTCAATTCTTCATGCTATTATACCGAGAACCGTAATTTTAACCAGACTATTTTCGTCACTGTCAGTGTTGGAGGTTATGTTTATGTTTATGTTAGATTTAGGATTTAGATTCACCATCGGCACCATCAACTTTCTAAATACTTCGTTTGTGAAGATTGAATAGAGAATTGGAAGTGTCCTAAATATTTAAGTTCAATATCACTAGAGTTAGCATGTCCCTGTATGACAATAAATATTGGCTATTATCTCATATCCGGAATTCTTTTATATCCACAGATGACACAGGTGAGAAATCAGTCCTAATACAATAGAAGTCTCTTGTTGGATTAGATAGTCTTAGTTATTTCTATATCATATTAGCTGATCACCTAGCATTTATCACGGGATATTTCAAATTTAGCTACAAGCATATTTCAAATTTGGCTTCAGGTTAATGAATTGTATGTGCAATACTTGAAGAGGTGTTATAATGAGACCAAAGAGTTATTTTCATATGATATTGATTGAAACTTTCAAGGTATGTGTGAGTTAATAATGGTTGGAGAATCCAAAGATGCAAAGCAACATCTGAGAAGTGCAGAACCCTATCCAGAACCAGAAGGCAGTGAAGATGAAGAAGATGAATTTGAATTATTTGATATGCATCAGGATATGGACTTCAGTATCAGAGAGAGGTCAAACACAGCTGCACAGTTAGAGAAACTAGAGCATGCCAGAAAAAAGACCTCAAAAATGAAACATGTCAAGTGGGAAACCAAGGACCCTGTGCAAGAATTTGAAGATATATTTGTGAAAAAGGATATTACTCAGTTGAAAGATACCCAGAAGAGAACATCTACTTTGGCAGCTTTATTGCAAACACATTCCAATGTACCTAGAAATCCATTTATTGAGTATGCCAAATTTGATGGTAGTGGGCAAGTCAACATACCCACTAAAAAGTACAAGATTTATTTAACAATGTTGCCACAGGAACAAAGGAATTATCCAATGCAAGTTTGCTGTGTTGCTTCTGCTAAAGTGCAGGATCTCATTGGACTGGTACTTCTCAAACACAGGTACCTTAGATTCTTTGGAGTTGATATTGAAAGCTTCAGCACTGGATATCTTTCAATTAAACTATTTTCAATTTTGTTTCTATCATTCTCTTATTCTTTATTCATGTTAATATCTCTCCATAAAATGGGAGAAAAAATGTTTATTCCTGTTTTTCAATCTATTGGAGCCATTAAATATGACTTCAGGAAAAATTCTGGAAAATAAGTTTTGGTTCCTTTACCATTCTGATTCTGATGCTTGCTGATCATCTATTACTGAAAACCATGTTCACACAGGGCAAATGCAACAGTCAATCTGGAGCAATTAATTGGCTCTTTTGGTATAAATTCACCAATTTACACATTTAGGTGGGACACCCTGTATAGAAAATACAACTGCACATCTTTTGTCATCAGTCATTATCTGAATCACATCTGAATATTTTGATTTTTTACGGGAAAGATTTGATCACTACACTACCTAAACTGAAATTTATTTTAAGAAGTGAATCATCCCAAGAAGAACACAATTAGGAAAGAAAATACGGCAAAAACTCGGGCAAAAAGTTCAAACCAGGAGAGAAAAATGGCGGATACAGTGTATTATTTTAAGTTGCAGCTTTGAAATTTTTCGTCGGTCTTCCACCTACAAATCTTGTTCAGAATCATTTGATTTTCTGTTCAAGATAGTGTCAGCAGTAGATGGAAATTTGATCAAAAATTGGCAACTAAACTACAAAAAAAGTATAATAGAGAAGAGGCTCTGGACAAATTTATTTCTGTGGAATGATATTCATCTGAAAAAAACAATTTTCTCTCCCAGACACTATTATGGAATTAGTCCAAGTTCTACAGGAGAATAATGTAGTATATCTTCTTTTTCCTATATAAATATTTGTTTTCGAAATTTTTGAGCTAACAATTTTGTCTCAACTCAAACAAGATCTACTGAATGAAACTGATGTATAGAGCTTGTGAAGAGTATCATACATAAAGGCTTGCATTGAAGCCAGAAAACACATTTTTGTATTGTTACTTCAAGTTCCTAGTTACATACTTGTGCAATGGCTCAGCTCAGTCGGGGTTCGGAGTAGGAATTATTAATCAACAAGAAAGATATCACATCCAACAACTTTTCTATTCCAACAAGATTGTTACAAAATCGGCTTTTTACAACATAACCTGACACTGCGTGTGGTGTCTTTACTTTTTACACGCGATGTCCCCTTTACCAATGACGGCTAAATATCTGGACTGTCTGACGGGTCATACATGACTGTTCAATCACTCAGTTCAGTGTATTCTCCACCAGAGGGGTTTACTTGCCGACCTTTGCGGAGAAGTCATTTGTTTTCTGTTATTTTAGCTCTCATTCGGTTGTTTTCCAATAACATAGGTTATATTGAATTGTTATTATTATCAAGTGTCAAAACTGTGTCACTGTCAGGTCCCTGATGTGTTCTGTTAAATATCGATAAATTCCTTTACTATTAATATAATATTATTATAACCCGTCAGACAGTCCAGATATTTAGCCGTCATTGCCTTTACGCTGCTCCAATCATAGAAATCATATTCAGGGCCGTCTTAGCTCACTCGCGAAACCATCACACTTGCCAATCATCATTTGAGTTTCCTTTTTTATTCTAACATATATACCTATTCATGTTTCTTGTTATTCATTATGTGAACACTAAAGAATTATGTTTTCAATTTTATTCCACAACATCCTGTTTCTTATATTATATTTTTCATTTTGTTCATCAAACTGCTATAGAAAAAAACTAGTGTGCGTAGAACTTCTATGGTCTAATGGTACGAGCAACCCGGGACGCGAGTTTGCCGTTTTACTCCCATCCCAGAAAATGTCCAACGTGCCTATAGAATTTATTATCACTACAAAAATGTGTCATGTGGAATTTAGCTTCTCCTTCTTCTTCCTTGTTTATTTAACGTCGGCCTTTTTCTGCTATTGAACCTAATTACCGACGCCTGCGAGCACACTACCCCCAACCGGAAATTATGACGAGTCCAACATCCATGGCCTCGGGACCGCCGGCTTAACGTCCTCTCCGAAGGACGGCATATCCTTACCATATCTTGTGCTCATTGATATGGTAGCTGTAGCTAGGGTCCCTTGATGTAAATTGACGTATTCGTGATCTTATCAGGGTACGGATAGATCCTCGTCTCCTCTCACTCTAAGTCGAAAGTGTTTGTGAAACAGTCATCTAGTTCCATCTTTATTCATTTCTGGGGATAAACACTAGATTTCTGACATTTGTTGTTTTTTTAGGTTATATTGAGGACATTGGCGTATCATACGTGATTTCCACATGTAATTTCTCATTCAACTCTACATATATTATATCCAAATGATGATGATAATTTTCGAGTTTTTGATTTCTCAACTCCAGCATAATTTTGTGAGGCAGTGAGCAAAATTTTCTGAGAGTTTAATAATACGTTTTTCCAAATGAGACTGTTCTTAGGCAGTACCTAACCGTGAATTAATTTTGAATTCAGACTAAGCCTTATGGTTGACAAATGGTGGAAAAATTTATGTAGGTATTCAAACTAATGTGCTCATATGTTATGTATGCTGTATATATTCATGTTGGGAATCATTTTTCCAGTTTTTCACGAACACTTCATATTTCCTGAATGAAGGTATACTTTTTAAATGGAAGGGGATATGTCTCTTCTTCCAATCCTCCGATTTAATCAAAACTGTTTTACTAAAATGCATTAAAAAACTTGGGAGTGGATAATTATAGGCACAATATGAGAAAGTATAATATGTGATATCGTATCAGTTTTACCTCGAATATTTTGCTGATGTATTTACCAATTTTCCCCATTCGGTCACTTCACTTTCCATGTTCTAAGTTCATTCGCATTTGATGGAAAGCTGGCAAATCCATTTTACCATCCTTCCAAAACAGAATTGAATAATGTCGTATTAAGATAAAGTATGAAATCAAAATTTTGCAAGATATCTTTTAACGCCTATAAATGTGACGTGATAGCAATGTCATGTCATGGACGAAACCAAAGTCACTAGATGGTTGAAAGAGAAAGGACCTATGATCTGTCCGTACCCTGTTAGATGACAAATACGTCAGTTTGCATCAAGGAACCCTAGTGTTGTCTATCTCCTAGGGCCATGCCCTTTATATAGGTAATCTCACTGAGGATACCCAATGGGTGGGGGAGTCAATCAATCGTCGTCAGTGGTGAGTGTTGTTATGGTTCTGGAGGAAAATAAAATAGATGAACAAAAACCTCCTCAAACGGCTGGTGCCTTACCTGAGGAGCTAATACGATGTCCATCTCTGTGCATAAATATCCATAAATTGGTATGCCAGAGATTTGAGCATGCGCATTATTACACCTTACGCTTATGGATAGTAATTTGTCCTCAAAAAACGGCTTCCTTTTGCGCTATGGAAATAGATAGACAATATCCACATTGTTTAATAATACGTATATGGTCAAAACCCCATTATCTGCCCTTTCAGCTACAACCATGGCATAACGAACTTGAAATCTCCCTCCCAGTACGGTTTGTATATAACTGAAGAGGATGGTGAAGTGGACAGAGATTTCCCCTGCTTGGATGCCGGAGAGCCGATCTCCAAATTCGGTTTCACCAGTTTGGGGTTGGTCGAGCACAAAGAAGCGAAAGCTGTCAATTTCCAGGATGCATCCAGGAACAGTTTAGTCATGGAAGGACCGGGGAGGACAAGGACCATTTCGGATAAGAGCAAGGCAGAGGAGTCCAGGCAGATGGAGAACGACCTTCAAGCGGTCAGTAGGTTTTTTAACCCAAGATTCTTCCTCTCAAAGTTCGCTCATCCGTTAAACTTCACAATGCACAACTTCACAATGCATTTTCATGCTATAAATTAGCGCTAGTGCAACTATACTCCATTCTAGAGTCACTGGATGGTATTAGTTTGATAAACTAATACCATCCAGTGACTCTAAGATAAGAGTTCGGACACAGCTGAACTTCTGTCCTTTTCTATTTTCTATATTACAATGATTTAAGTGAATAAAAGAATACGACATATATTCTGCTCTTTGTCTTTTCAATTTCCCTATAGGTCGCGTGCACGAAGACCGACCCTGGAGGCAAAATATTGAAACACAACCTCATTCTTCTGTGAATTATTGAAACACAACCTCACTTTTTTATTTGGTTACAGAGGAATCAAAAGGTTGAAATAGTTTTTCACAATATTTTGGCATACGAATCGTGTTTCTTGCGTTATTCATCAATTCAAGCATGCCTTCGCATTGTGCTGTTGTACAATGCACAAAAAATGCAGCAAGAGACTAGGGAATAATATGATTTTTCAGATAAATAGTAATCTCACATAGTTAGCATTATGAAATGTTGTCATTCCTTATTAAAATTCCTTCTGCCTTCTGCCACTTCTGATGCAATACAAGCTAATGCTGCTAATAGATTGAAAATGTCTACAATACACAAGATCGTCAGCATGTCAGACTAGTCCTACCGATTGATTGGATGAATCCAATCTTCTTGCATTATTCTAGAAATTTCAGGTATATTTCTATTAGCTGATCCTATTGCAGAAGGAATTCCGATGAGAAATCAGAGAAATAACCAAATTTCAAAAATGAAAACTATGTGAGTGACAAATTGACTATAGTAGGTACTTACTTTTGAATCATAATGTACCATCCGGATTTCTTCATCTTCCGCTGCAGTTTTTGTGCACAACAGCACAATGTGATGGCATTAGCGAATTGATGAATAGCGGAAAAATACGATTCATATGCCAAAATAATTGTGAAAAACTATTTCGATCACTTGTAAAAAAATATGTTTTGCCTCCAGGGTCGGTCATCTGACAGTTCTTGCACGCGACCTATATTATTGATGGTTATTCATACCACACCAAATTTGGTTAGAATCGCATGACTGATGACTGAGATATAGAGGGGGGGGCGTTTAAAGTGAGACACGCTGTATATTCAGACTCTTTCAGGTCGAGGACCACAACAAACAGATGGAGGCGCCCTTGTACAGGGCGTTCAGGGCCGTTATGGTGAGCAAAGTGAAGCCCAAAATCGAGGTGACCATTGGCATCAGCGGCGAAAGGGTGGAGATAGACCCCGTGCCTCAAAAGGGCTCCAAATTGCTGCCCTTCAAGGCTAAGGCGATCAGCCACCCTGTAGATTCGATCGCCAGCTGCGAAATGATCGATACGAGGAGCAGCAGAACCGGTTTCAGGATTGTTTATTGTACGGCCGCTGGTGGAAATGCTAGTGGCGACCCGGGAATTTTGAACTGTAAGTTCGTGTTGATAACTTGTTTCCAAGATATTTCATTCTAGCTTCGATTATTTACACTACAAGGATTCTAGCTAATTCACCATTTAGAATTCAGATCATTAAATCCAATGGGCTTATATCACAAAAAAATGTTATTTCATAATTCGATAGAACTCACCCAAGCTAGCTCACGACCGCAAACCGTTTCTTGCTGTGAGCTCCCTACGTTTCATAAAAAATTAATGAAATCCCCGATTTTTCGGACCTCTGAAAACGAGGCTATGATGTGACGTCAAAACCCTAATACTGAAACAAGACTATTCCAGACAGAGATGAATGATATATGATTTCTGACAGAGTGAATTAGCGCGAGATCACAGTTGAAAGAATTAATATATCAGTTGCCTCAGTCTCCGTCGGGCGTTTGGTATTTTCTTTCAACTATGGCGAGATGAGGTTTCTACGTCATAAGAGGGTCCGTTTTCAGAAAGTACTATTATTTATGTCCAAAAATAAAACATTCCAGTTATTTTTTCGATCAAATTATGTCGTCAATCATTATTTATGTATAAAAGGATCATTATAAACATGGTTTGAGTCAAAAGTTCTACTAAGTTGTACACGCCCATTGCCTTCCGTTATTAATGAATCCTACCGACTGCACCAATTGTGATTCCAAGCGGTTTCAATCAACTTTTTCAAAATAAACTGGGCGTCAATTGAAACGTTAATAGTGAAATTTGGCATTAAGTTTGACTTCTCGTAATTTCTAAAATATTGAACGAATTTTGAATTGCCGTCCAGATTCTGAATGCCTTTTTCATCGTCTTTCGAACCGTTCCTTACAGCTTCTTCTAAATTGATCAGGACCCATGATACAAGGTGAATCAAAGTTTCGTGCATTTTGAAAAAGATTTATCCGCTCCTCCATTTTGTCGGAAGACCACGATGCTCATATTTTAATCAGGCATTTCATAAATAGCAACCATACCTCGGGAAGTTCTCGAGTTTTTGCCAAAAACTACTGTGGTTTCCGGAAAAAAAAATGTTTTTGCATTTTTTTTAAATGGACTGATTACCTGTATCCTCAGAACGATGAATCAGTCTATTTATTGTCATGACTGAATTATTGAAAATGGTACTTAAATGAGTTTGAATGAGCTGAATTATAGTTTATATGACTATAGTGATCTTACCTAATGATATTTTCCATTTCGACCCGATTTGAACGAGGCATCTTTAAATTTTTTAGGACCCGAAATACACTGACGTTTTCATGAAAATTGGCTATTGATATAACCTCTATGCATACCTACATTGTTTCATCAATACGTTGTTATAGAAAGTGTATTATGTGTTGATTTACTGCTCACTAAGGTAGAAAACTTTTATCATAGACTGCGAAGTAATAAATTATTGATTGTGTTTGAGTAACCTGATATACATATCTGCTCCAACGCTTCCCTGAAATGCATAAAAGCATCCATTTATGGAACTCCTTTAAAATTAGTCCATTTAAAAAAACATACTTTTTTTTTTCGGAAATCACAGTCGTTTTTGGCAAAAACTCGAAAACGTCCCGAGGTATGGTTGCTATTTATGAAATGCCCGAATAAAATATGAGCATCGTGGTCTTCCGACAAAATGGGGGGGCGGAGAAATTTTTTTCAAAATGCACGAAACTTTGTTCACGAGTCCTGATCAATTTAGAAGAAGCTGTAAGGAACGGTTCGAAAGACGATGAAAAAGGCATTCAGAATCTGAGCAGCAATTCAAAATTCGTTCAATATTTTAGAAATTACGAGAAGTCAAACTTGATGCCAAAATTCACTATCAACGTTTCAATTGACGCCCAGTTTATATACCTTCTGAAATCTGTTTAATAGTTACTTACAAAACGAGAAAAAACTGTTCTTAATGCTAAAAATTATACTCAGTAGGTGGCGGTATCTATGATCGACAAGGTGAACTACTTCTTGTTGAGTAGCGGAAAGTCGCATCAGGGCCGTATTAAAATATTGTTATTTTAAAGCCTTCAGAATATCAAAGTTAGTGATCTTCCTACTTCAGAAAAAAGGATATTTCTAGATAGTTCAGCAACTTGCAGATAGATGGACTCCGATTCCGAGAGTAGACAAATAGGCCATATTATGCTGATTTTAGCTAGGGTCGCCTATGAACCACCCAAGAACTAAGGCCAAATTTGACTTCAACATTTTACATGGAGGTGATCATATTGTTAGTGTATATATGTATAATCAAGGTTTCCAGCTAATTCACCATTTACAATTTAGATCAATATATCCAATTGCCTGAATCCTACCGACTGCACCAATTGTGATTCCAAGTGGTTTTAATCACCTTTGTCAAAATATCTGAAATCCACTTATTAGTAATATACGTAAAAGGTCCGGAAAAAACTGTTCTTAGACGTGTTGCATACACTATTTTTTCGACAACCATGTATAATAACAAATCATTGAGACACATTTCCATATTATATTGCTTTGTAGAATGAAATTCACATTTTAATTCTAATTGGTATCAAATACAGAACCTACTAACAGCTACACTGGAAATTTCGTATGGACATTTTCAAACTAAATATCGTTGCTGCTTTCGCTAGATTATTGCGATAATTACAACCAAACTTTCAAAATCAAAATGTCAACTAATTTCATGTCAAATAGCTCAATTTTATTTGTAGTGACAAAACAAGTTTTATTACTTTTTCCGCTCAAGCATCAATTTACGCAACTTTGTCCTAATTATTGAAGCGAATCTGTTTTGGTTACCGTTACCCAGATACCAATGATACCCCTCGAATTCGGGACACCCTGTACACCAGACCACGGAAATCTTCTAACGCATTTTAATGACTTGGAGATAACAAAACGTCCAGTGAATTCCTCATACTTAAATCACTGACAACAAGAGATTTCCAAGGACATACAAATTTGTGATCAGATGCCATTGAATTGGAAACAAAATTCATAGAACTAGTGACTACAAAGGTTCCAAATTAGTCTCATGATTTCCTAAGACTGAAATACAGTGTGGACATCAACTGGAAAAAATCTGCAAGCGGGGATGTGACCCGACCCTACTTTGGAAAGGTGGTGGAAAGAGGAATCGCGAGGGTTGCATTAAATCGAAATGTAATTTTTAAAGTTAATTCACTTTCAAGGAAAGAATTGCTCAAAAAGTGTGTTGAACAATGTATAGTAATTTGTTCCCACAATACCTACAATATTATGCCAATGTATTCAAACACTCTCAAAATTTAAGTATAAATAGGTACATTAAAACGTTGACGTATTCCGCAAATTGAAAAAAAAAGCATTCAATCTCCCCACAAGAGAATTTATTCTAGTTCTTCCTGTGAAAAATTTGAATGACGTCTTATATTATAATTTTATCATTACAATTCTTTCTAATGGCTTCCTAGGACTCTTAATTACTTTCAGTGTCAATAAGAGATTTGCAAACTCTTACAAATGTTAATGACTTCCGAAAAATTACAAAAACTTTCAACAGAAAATGTATTCTGAAGCTAACAAGGCAAATCTGATTGTAATGCAAGCCCGCGATTTTTTCGTGTCCTACCGACTGCGCCAGTTTATCTTCCAATCTGTATGAATGGCCCAATTCTGATTCTACAGGTGTCGTGGACGCGAATAGGTAATATAATGGTTTTTTTCAGCACCCAGTACATCATCAGCACATAAAACGACGGCATTCAAGCATTATTATTTCGAAAGTGACTATCCTACTGCTCTCGACATAGTTCAAAAAATAAATTTGATTCTAGAGCTGAAATCCAGCGCAACGAGAAGCGAGTATATCGCATCAAGAGAGAAGAAAATGGTTATTAAAAAAGTATTCAACATTGTAAAATGAAGTGCTCAAAGAAACAAGTGAACGACTCAGATTTTCACGTTTTTCAAGATGCGATAACTTTTTTGCAAATTGACCTGTTTTCATTCGGAATGCGATGTTCAAAATATGCATCCTTTCTGATTAAGACTATTTGGTACAGTTTTCCAGTTATGACATACCGAGTGGTCAAAAATAGTGTTACTTAATCGAAAAAGTTTAGGAGCTCTTCTATTCTGCAGGCATTTCTTATGCTTCTGCAAATCATCCAGGAAAAGAACAGAATATTGAAAGATCAAGATTTTTTTATGTTATTGGAGCGCACCAAAGGAACAAAATTTTGGGATTCTTGGGAATACATCCTTCGGCAAAGAATTCCAATGCTTCATCGTTCTATATATGTAGACAAATGAATTTTGGTAAAGAGTTGTTCGACATATTTATTTCGAGGTTGACGACGAAAATAGCTTTCGATTTATCATGTTTCCCCATGTTTTTATGATGAAGCTTGCAGAAAGATGACCACTCATTGGTAAGTATGTCATAACTGGAAGATTGATAAGTTTTGAACAAGGAATCTTGAACAGAAAAGATGCATCTTTTGACCACCGCAAGTAAATCGGTCAATTTCCAAAAAAGTTATCGCATTTTAAAAAAGGTCAAAAAGTTGAGTGGTAAACTTATTTCTTTGAGCACTAGAGATAATATTTTCAAACTGAAATGTGATTTTGTTTTTAGTAGTACTATGTATTTTCAACGTTTTTGTATTGAAAAGATTGAACTAAACCTCATTTTTTTTCCCTGATAGTAATCAACAACTATTAATAAAAATAGTATTTCTATCGTTTTTTTTTTCATTTCGTATTTTTCCTATGTGGAACAGTTGCCAAATCGATAATAGGCATAAAAACCTTATCACAAAAAATGGAACAAGCTTTATAACATAACAAAATACTCATAACAACATGACTGTTAGAAACTTGACTTGGAATGATACTTATAAATTCATTAGTAATTGTTAGGTAAGTACGGCAAAGAAAAGGATTTAATACAGGATGAACGCAGCAACACCGCAATGTTTCGTAGTAGACGGGCAATTATCATAAATAATATCACGATGTTCTGAATATTCGAGATAATTTTGTCACGTTCATACGTCAACGCAATTGAGTTAACAATGAAAAACAGAATTATGAGAAGATATTCAGAACAGAGTGGTATTTTGCTAGAATATTTCACGTTCACGAAGCATAAAAAGTATTTATTATAAATGGGTGATTCATTCTAACAAGTACAGACATAATTATTATATGCCAAACTGACAGACTTTGATCAGCTATCCATGGTAACATCCAGACTTTGCTCCTCTATCCATAGTTACATCGTTGAAAACCTCAACGCTGATAGACCCAGCAGAATTGAAAGACAGCTAATGTTTTCGCAATAAGCACACGTTTTCTCTGGCTTGTGATATTGGTCAATTATGTGATGAGTGAAATAGTTTCCATAATACTCCACAAAACATTTTAGATTTGGCGTAGATGCTGTCTTGATTGATTGGTCAGACCTTCAATATGGAGGTGCATCCACCTGTTTCGTTTTCTCCATTTATTTTTTCGCATTCTGTTTCACTTTGTCTCTGTTTTTTGCTTTTTGGACATAAAACATTCAACAATCAGACATGAACCTCTATACGTCATTACTTTGGATATTAACTATTAAAATACCAGTCTTTTGGGACTCGTGAGTCTGAGATTATTCAGATCGATGAAATGAAAATATCAAATATCTAAACCTAATATCAGGTCGTAGGCACTTCGAAGGCGCAAATTCATTACGGCATGAGAGAAACCGGCAGCCACTCACCCTAGGTACGTGCATGGTACGTGTAGAGTTGATTTAGTAGATTATTGGTCAAGTCACTAAAATTGTTCTTATCCTTCAGTCGGTTGCCCCCTTACGAGCAACCCTCAGATGTCTTCAAGAGACTTGTGCGAGCAAGGAATGACTGGGGTCTTTTTTAGGCCATCAGAAAAATTTCTGCGGTCGTGGTGGGACTCGAACCCACTACCGGTAATCCAACGTGGATAGAACATTGACGCTCTAACCACGGCACTGAATAGCTAAAAATCTGAAGGGTATCTTCCATACAGTAATAAATTTGCTCCTTCAAAGTGTCAATCAATCAAATCTTTATACCTTTAGACAACAACATTGTGTCCGGAAACGTCAAAATTCCTGCAAAAATACATAAAAAACAATACATAGATACAGTGAAACGAAATACAATACAAAAAATATCACTGTACCGGACGATCCAAGAAATCTTGCACAGTATTGAGAGAATTATGCACCAAAAATGTTTTGAGTGACGTTTTGAAAATTTCAATTGTTAAACTTGATTTAATGTGCTCAGATAAATGATTGAAAATATGTGGTCCTATCTTGGGCTACTTTGTATTTCCCAATTTGTGTGTGAATTAAGCCTTTCTGACAAAGTATTCATGTTATGAAGCTTAAAATAGGTTATGTTACAATAAATATAACATGTAATCTCAAATATGTATGAACTATAGCGAGAGTCAAAATATTACTGGATGTTGGGTTTGGATATTTGATATTTTCATTTCATCATCTGAATGATCTGAATCTCACGAGTCCTAATAAACGGATTCTAATAGTTAATATCCAAGAACAGACCTATAGATGTTTTGCCTGATTGTTGGATGTGTTGTGTCCAAAGAGCAAAATTAGAGACAAAGCAATCAAAGCATTGACAAAGTGAAATAGAATGCGTAGAACTATTTATAAAGTCACTCTACACGTAGACACGTACCTATCTGTAGTGTGTTATTTGTTTTTGCGGGTGAGTATACAGTTGTGTGGTACATAGGAATTTAGTCCAGTGGCGTTCTGGTCTGACGGCTTTTCATGGGCGAAGTTTTGGGGTTCACAGGGGTAGAAACAACAAATAATATCTTGAAAAATTGTATATATTTGAAAATTGCCCTAGTGTCTCCCTCAAAAAAAGTTATCACTTAAAAATCATAAGAAAACCCCAAATAAACTTAACAACAACAACTTAACATTAGGGATGGAAATGAAACAGCCATAAATGCACTCTATCATAGCAAAATCTCCTCAAACACTGAAAATCATTCGTTTTTCTAATATTAATGTCATGTCAAAGGCTAAGTAACATCAACAGAAATTATGGTTTGTGGTTGTTTCGAAAAATAATCTAGTGATCGACGAGGGTTTGATGAAACAAATTGCATCTAAGGTTCGAAATATCCTCATTATGTGGTGCCCAAATTCGCGAAATTCTTGTACTCTGCGTAAGAGATGAAACCGTCATTGTCCTTGTCAATGTCAATCAGAAATTGGTCGACGAACTCTGAAATTTGTTCGTCGTTCATTGATTTTGCTGTACTGTCATCGTCACCTGAAAAAATGACATGAATTCGTTTCGCTCGTTACAACATGTAGGAGACAACTGAACCGTGACATTGAACGTGATTGTTAGTGATTGAACTGGGAAACAGTGAAAGGGCCAACACCATCCGATGAACCTTATTTTGAAACATTCAACTTTGAGTTGACTTGCAGTAAATTGAAACGTGTGGTACTTAAATATTCACAGTTAGAAAGTAACTTGCAGCAATTTTGCAATATTGCTGTTCTGCTAGTGAGTTGCGAGGCTGAAAACTCAAATGGGTGCGTGCAAGAACTGTCAGATAACCAACCCTGGAGGTGAAACATTGAAACACAACCTCACTTTTCTCATTTGTTTACAAATGATTGAAATAGTTTTTCACAATTATTTTGGCATTCGAATCGTGTTTTTTGGCTATTCATTAATTCGCACATGCAATCACATTGTGCTGTTTTACAATGCACAAAAAATGCAGCGAGAGACGTAGGAATCCGGTTGGTACATTATGATTTAAAAGTAAGTACCTACTATAGTCACTCACATATTGTTTCCATTTAGAAATTCGGTAATTTCTCTGATTTCTCATCGGAATTGCTTCTGCATAGGGAGCTGATAGAAATACCCGTGAAATTTCTGAAAGAATCCAAGAAGATTGGATTCATGCAATCAAACGGCAGGACTGGTCTGACATGCTGACGAAATATGATCGTGTGTGTTGTAGACATTTTGAATCTATTAGCAGTATTAGCTTCTATTGCAGAAGTGGCAGAAGGAATTTTAATAAGAAATGACAAAATTTCTTAATGAAAACTATGTGAGATTACTATTTACCAGTTACCTGAAAAATCATATTATTCCTTCGTCTTTTGCTGCATTTTTTGTGAATTGTATAACAGCACAATGAGAATAGCGCAAAAACACCATTCGTATGCCAAAGTATTGTGAGAAATTATTTAAATATTTCGATTCCTCTGACAAAAAACAAAAGTGCGGTCATGTTTCAATGTTTTACAGATTAGTGAGGTTGTGTTTCAATATTTCACCTCCAGGGTAGGTCATCGTGCACCATATACGTATTAATAATCAATACGGATATTCTCTATCTGTTTCCATAGCGAAACATGAAGCCGATTTCTGAAGACAAATGACTATCCATAAGGAAAAGTGAGATACGATCAGACACATACTGCTTTGATTGAAAGGCTAGTAAACGTCATTGTCCACCGAAACGCATGTCTTTGATGACTACGTATCATGCCACCAAATCCTTATGGATATTCATTTGTTTCATATTTTTGGCTTCATCCTGGCACCCGTTATGATCCGTATTGTTTATTAATACGTATACGTCGTGCACGCGACCTATGGCTATACCAGAGATGAATATACATCTCTGCTATACTTATATACAGGTTATGAGCTGCTGCATGCACTCAAAGTTCCTGCCAGATATATTTCATGGAATTTCAAAGTACTTTGGGCTCTGGGTTGGAAAAATTCCTGTATTATTGTAACTCTGAATATGCAGAACATCCAAATTTTTCAACATATGATCACAAGTTCAAATATTTGCAGCTTTGACCTTTCAGGTTGATGAACACGTTTTCCGCAAGAGTTAGGTACAAATTTTTTCCTACGAGTGTTTTTGTCCATATTATTTATGAAAAAAAAAAGGTTTTTAGTGAACAGTATTTTATAATGATGCTATTAAGACAGAATAATTGCATGGATCATTTAGTTAGTCCTAAATATCCTTATTTTCAACAGTACAAAAATCGTGCAGAATAGTAACTCCAGCACTAGTGCGGTATAATTAATGCGGAAAAGTAAAATCGTAGAGAAAAGTACAACTTTCAAAATGAAAAATCATGTGGAAAAGTAACTTCCGCACACTCGTAGGAAATAGTATATTGTGCAACAAGTGAGAAAAGTGCTTGTTGCACACTATACTTTTTTTACAACTGCACTTATTCAAAGAATCCGAGTAATGTAACTTATTGGTATTCATTTTATAATGTGGCACTATGCCACATTGAATATTGTGACCAAAGAGTAGATGCCTTTCCTAGTTCCTCAAAGTATTTAAAAATAGTACACTTTCCGAAAATGAATTTCATACTTTTTTCTTGAAATTTCCAGAAACAAATCCAACATTCGCAACTTTTTCCATTATCTCTGTCTCTGGTGGTGTATAATTATCAAAATCGTCACATCTCGGTATATACATCATATTATTTATTATGAATTGTTGGAACAATATTCGATGGAAAATGCGATTTCTATCAAAAGCACTAATGAGAACTACCCTAAAGAATTTAAAAAACTTCTTCTGACAGTTATGACAACTATTCAAAGCTGAACAGCAGCCAAGTTTTGATCGAATTATGTTGATTCTAAATGGAAATGTATGTGGTGTTGGCAGTGCCGTGAGAAAAAATATTCCTCACAGTATGAGCAATACATGGTTTTGAAACTAAGTTAGCTATGAGAAATGCGCCACTTTTCATAGCAGTAGTAGAACACTATTTTGAATTGAATTGAATTACTGCAAGTTACTGCTAAAGTTCCGTTCAACTGCGCATCCAAATCGACTTTCACAAACATTTCTAAATGCCCCTTCACCGTTCTCCTGTGAAAAAAAAACACAAAACACATACATCAAGCTTGGGGTTTGGGTTGCCCTGCTGCTTTTTGCTGAGCCCTTATGAACTCCGGATAATCGATGTAGCCGTCCTTGTTGTAATCGTCCACATTGAGGATTGGATCGATGAGATTGACCAGCTCATCGTCTTGGAAAACTTTTTCCTCGATACTTCCGGGTTTTTCTTTGTTACCCTGTTCTGGAGGTGGGGGAAACACAAAACAAAACGACACGGATGAGATACAAGCGGGGTGAAAAGGCAATATGATTTATCCCAACAATATGAGGAAGTTTGCTTACAAACAATTTGATTTTTGGTTAAACTGCATTTATCATGCGATGGGGTTTTTTTCGAAACATCTTTTTGGTACTTGCATATTTTTGTCAGAAAAACACGAATTTGATATTGAAAATATGAACAAACTATTATTCTTAAGATATTTTACTAGGAAGTTCCAAATTTCTCCGTTCTTTTTCGCCTATCTTCTGGATCGCATTTAGAACAATTTGCCCTTTTTTCATCATTGGCAATTTATATATATCACAATATACGACACATTTTTTTCTATTATATGAGTCAACTAGAAATATGATTTTCTTGTGATTTATCCAAATTAAGTGAAAAGAAGGAAGAATATCATTGAAAATGATGGCGTATGTAATGTCATTCAAAAGCAATCTGTTGACATTTGACATTTCGTATTTGGATTGACTATTGATTAAATTGCCGTCATCTGGTATGCTTGTTCACTAAATATGAAGAACTCGCCATAAAAATCATTCCTGTTGATTTTCTATATAAAAATGTGTTATTGAAGTAAATCATGAGCAATGACGGCTAAATATCTATGACTGTCCAATCACTCAGTTCAGTGTATACTCCACCAGAGGGGTTTACTTGCCGTCCTTTGCGGAGAAGTCATTTGTTTCCTGTTATTTTGAGCTTTTATTCGGTTGTTTTCCAAAACATAGGTTATACTGAATTCTTATTATCAAGTGTCAAAACTGTGTCACTGCCAGGTCCCTGTGTTCTGTTTGATATCGATTTTAAATTTCTTCACCTTTTCGAATTTTCATTCAATCAAGCAGTCTTCTTTGTGTTTAGTGCTGGTAGTTTATTTATTCAAGTTTGCTAGTTGTGTCTTCATCATGTATCTACCATTGCTCTTATTAGGCAGTTAAAAATTCGATGAATGAAATTATTAAACATGTCCTTACCTATTCACGAAATGACGAAGATGATTTCCACTTGAATGGCATTTTTATTTATGCAAATAGCGGTATTTGGCATTAATACTCCTAACCACTTCATTTTTGTTGTCTTTTTCACAATTTTTCTTGATATTTCGAACAATGCTCTCCAAACTCGAATGACAATGAGTGACAGGCTGACAGTGAGAAGTAGTGAGAAGATTTGTTAGCAAATAATTCAGGTTATGTTGAATAGCTCATTTGACACAGCAAATAGATGACGCCACATGCCGTCCCTTCGAAATTTCATTACAGGGCGATTTTGGCGATTTTCTCTGAATGAACAGTGATGTATAACCCGTCAGACCGTCTAGATATTTAGCTCAGTCAGTGTTCAATGACAAAGTAAGAAGAGCAAGTAGCTGTAAATGCATCCAACACAAAGGCAAAAAGGAGGCGAAATTTCGAACTTCATGTTGAAATATCCCGATAAATAGGGGTTTGTTCACATTTTCATCATCAAATTCGTGTTTTTCAGACAAAAATACGTGAGTAGCAAAAACATTTTCCGAAAAAAAAAAACCATCGCATGATAAATGTAGTTTTACCTGATTTTCTTATACAACCTACTTTATCCACCTAAAAAAACTCTCCTGATTTGCATAACATTATGTACTTTCAGTAAACAGAAAAGTAACCTATTTCCAACAGAATTTCCAATAAAAACAACAATCATATTCCTCATTCTCAATTCAAAAATCCTCTGAAATATCACAAAATACAGTTACATAGGTACTAGTAAAATTATTAAAAATTTATGAGTTCATGTGGTCAACTAAAGATTGATAATGATATGAGTAATTATAATAATAAATAAGTGTCAAAATATATTTCAGTAGGTTATGAAATGTTTCTGTAGATCAATATGCAAATCAGGAGATCTACTGAAAATTTAGTAGAGCTGGCAACCCTGCAGCGGACGAAAAGTTAGTGTCTGCGGACGAAAAATACTAACCTTCGGAAATAGTCGGTTTTTCGTTCGGAAATAAGAATTGTAGAAGTCGAGGAAAAAAAGGAGGACGAAAAGAAAAATGTCAAGTAATCAAATCGTTAATGATTAGTATATGGAACTGATGTATACTGGGCGAATATTCCTTGAAATTGATATTGTTTCACAATCTAGGATGCCTATTGAAATGATTAGAACCGTTTCTATTTCAAAACAAAAGCAACTAAGACATCTGAAGAAACAGCGCCGAAAAGCAGTAAAAAATATCAAGAATAAAACTTTGAGAATTGGAGCTATCAGAATGAGAAGCAGCCAGAACTGATTCTTTCATTTTTACTGAAGTAAAATCTGAAAAAAATTACTTCACTTCACGGAAAAATAAAAATCTAAATAAAGCAAACTTCCCCATTTGCTCATTTGCAACTACATTGTCCAAAACATATACAGGGTCATTCACCATGAGCATATGTTGAGTTGAAATATACAGTGTCAAACATGTGAATTTATTTGTTTCATAAAACTTTGGAGTTATTGAACTGTTTCTGCTTTGATAACATTGCAAAATTACTTAGAGCAATGTTTTCTACCAATCGGCTATACAGGGTATCTATACAAATTCGACGAATTATTCTGTGGGTATGAAGAATCATTTTTTAAATACATAAAAAAAGTTGAAACAAAGCCACTTTTGAACAAATTGTTAGGTTAGAAAGTGTGACCATTTCAACTAAAATATCACCAACATCCTTATAATGAAATTGATGGTCAGCAATGGTGAACAGGGAATTCTCAAACACATAGTTTGATCATCATTCAACAGGCTGTTAGTACTAGTACCAGTTTTTTTCAAAAATTATATATGGTGACCAAAATTTTACATTAAATTCAACATCAGAGAAACTATCAAAAATGCATTTTTTCAACAGGAAGCTTATCAATTTTGAAAACATTTGTTTTTTTGTGTACTTAAATGCCTTGTTTTTTTTTTGGTTTTGATGGAATTTGTGAAATATCTGGGCCAAATAACAATAACCAATCAAGGAAGATATCAAAGGTGTGAATAAATTATTCCCCTATTCATGTTACAATTGATTTTTTTTTCACCTTTAAATAGATTGTTTAGCATTGAATTCAATTTGTTCAACCAAAATTGAACTGGTTGATCAGGGATTATTTTTTGGTATCATTTCCAACTGTCTATATATAAACTTGGCCTATTCTGATAATTTTTTCCATTCAATTCAATTCAGCAGGTCAGTGGTTGATAATACTGGCATCACTATATCATTATGATGGCCGGAAAAATTGAGTATGTATATATATATCTATATATATAATTTCTTATTATTGGTTTTAAATAATATCATTTTAAATTTTACTGAAATATGCTACAGCCATACAAAAACAATTACATTTACAAAAAATGTTGTATCTGCACACAGCAACAGATATAACCCTGAAAATAAATGGGTATCTCCTGCAAAACATACATTTTTCAAACAACAACAAAAAGAATTGAGGATATAATGATCTAATATTTCAACAAATAACAATAATTATATTCTCAACTTTTTCTCATACCAGTTTGTACAAATGAGCAGCCCAAATTAGTCTCAGCAAAATCCATGCTGATTATTTGAAAAAACTCAATCATGACTCACCATGCCAATGTATCAAAGATTTTATCAATTCACAGCCATCCAGCTTGTTATTATTATCAGCATCATGCATTTTGAAGTAGTGGAATTGCAATTCTTGCTCTGACATTTTACTTGTATCCATTGGTACATCCATATGTTCAGCTATATGTCTAAAAATAACTCTCATTTCATAATCATTTCCCACAATTAATATAGAAAAATGGACCACCATTGCATACAGGGTCACACTGATTCAAACTGCACAGTATAGGCTTATATTTCCTAAATGGTAAGAGATAGAAAGTTGATAAAACTAGACAAAAGTTGCATAATTCAATCTTTTTCAATATGACATTTCACAATTTGAAAAAACATCAGCTGTTATTAATCATGACAAAGGAGTTGGGATTGTCAGAAATATTTTATCTTCATTAGTTTCAGAGATTCACCATGCAACTTTTGTTTTTCTTATGGGCGCCATATTGGTTTTTCATAGCATTGAATCACATTGAATAGAACTAAAAACCCTTCACAGGCATGTACAACACATCAACATTATTATTATTATTATTATTGGTAAATTATACAAATTGAGGTCTTTTATACCTCTTAAATACTTGAAATTAATTTATTTCAGTTTGATTTACTTTAAATTGCAGTATCTGATATCAATCTGAGATACTGCAGCAAAATCTGTTTTGAAACCTCTCAAATCTCTTCAAAATAAAGCCATCAAATGTATTCACAAACTATCATTTCTGGAATCAACATCTGGACTATACAAACCAAGGGATCTACTAGATATTGACTCTCTCTTCAAAATAAAAGTATGCATTTTCATTAATTTCACTAAAAATAAGAAAAATCACACCAGACAAAGTGAACATTTAAAAACTGTCAAAATGAAAACCCAATTTGGGAAAAAACCATTGTATTTTTGTGAAATAAATATTTATAATAGTGTACCCAACAGAATAAAATCTATTAGGTTCCTCACAAAATTCAAGTGTGAACTGAAGAAATATATTTTATCAATTTAACTCTCTCCTTGTATCAATTAATTCTGATTGAACTGTTTATCTTTCATTGTATTGCATTTTTTATTTATTTATTATAATTTTTTTTGTTTCCCTCTATAAACATAATATGTTTCTTGGGATCAATAAATGTTTTCATTTTTATTATTATTATCAGATGGAACAACACCAAAATACAGTATAAACCATTTTCCACTAGTTAGGAATGTGGTAGGCCATGATAATGAGAAAACAAAATATCATTCCTCATGACTACAGTATTTATACTCCTTCGTAGCCATGTATAACAAGTTACATTATGGAAAGAGGAGAAAAGGGCACAGAATATTCAATTTTATCATAAAAACATTAGAAAAGTAAAACACAAGTCAAAACCATCAAGCCTAACACCAACTGAAAACCTTCAATGATACATATTTCTGACAATCCCAACTTCATTGACATGATTAATTACTTACTTAGGCAACATTTCAAAATGTTCCCTGGAATATTAAACAAGAAAATGAATAAAAACGAATTTTCAGTTTTTTCAAAATATCTCAGGAAGGGCTGAAATATTTTCAAATTGTAAAACATCATATTGAAAAGGATTAAATTATGCAACTTTAGTCCAATTTAAACAACTTTTCTATCTCTTACCATTTAGGAAATAGCAATACTGTCCCTAATAAATCTTCAGAACCCTATATAACAAACTTACTGAGCTTCCTGAGCAACATTTGCTGTATTCAAAACCTGTTGGGGCCTCCCATGGTCATGGTGATGGCCTTGATGGTGCTGTACAGGCACCTGTTGCTGTACAGGCACCTGTTGCTGTACAGGCACCTGTTGCTGCACAGGCACCTGTTGCTGCACAGGCACCTGTTGATGCTGTACAGGGATTTGTTGCTGTTGTTGATGGACTTGCTGTTGAACAGGTACTTGTTGGTACTGAGCCTGTCCATACTGCTGTTGGGGTACTTGCTGATAGGGCTGTTGCTGTTGTGGTACTTGCTGAATATGTGATTTTTTTAACTGTGGCTATTTGCATTAACTAAGGTAATTGATAGGCAGATACCTAGTACACCTTGTTTATATGAATTCTGACAATAAGCATTGCATTTTTTTTAGTGTGATGATGACTAGTGTTTTGTATCATTATGATCATATGTTATTTAATTTTCATCCCAATGGTTATTAGTAATGAAAAATAATGTGAATAATTTTTAAAGAATATACAGATTATGTTATATCTATTATGAGATCAAGATAATACCAAGTAAACCTGGAAGTAGATAGCTATTTATGATATTGGAACAATTAATTTTACAATCTCCAACTGTAAACTAGATAAAATGCCTCTCTTATGAAAAAAAAACATTATAAAAAATCAAAGGAGTGGATAAACACAAGTTATTTGGCGTTAGAGGTAAGAAAATTTCAACATATGGCACTAATTAAAGGGAGAAAAACTCACCTGATAATGTTGAGGAGGTACTCCAGGTGCTAACCTTTGAGTATTAACAGAAATTATGAAAAGACTGGAAACGAACAAAAATGCAGCTAATGTATACATTGTGGCAACACTAAAATGATGATTTTTTCTTATTTTCAACTCATTAATCATTCATTTTCAAATATTAAATCTTAAACCGCTTTATCAGCACCTACAAAATACACGTAAAAAACAGAAAAACAATTCAAGTTGTCATGTTCAAAAGGTGACGTGTGGAATGTGGACGATGTGAGATGTGACAGTTGAGTTAGACACGTTTGACGTTTGCAATGCACGAAATGTTAAACTCCATAGAACACGAGTCATCATAGAAAAATGACAGATGAGTAGTCGCGATAGAAAATAACACGTCGCCCCACCTGACCGCAGCAACTCGAACACTTCTGAGCGGTTTGTTTTGATGATATGACCAATTAGCACAAACAAAAAGTGAACCAATGAAAACAAAGTAAACATGCCGCTTCGACAGCTTTCAAGAGCTCCGGCAAGCTCCGGTATGTGGCGTACGCTTATTTTCTATCGCGAATACAGAGATCAGTCACCCACTTTTGACAGTGACGGAAAATCGTACAGAGCGAAACAACTAAACTTTTCATCTCATTCTACTTGCTTCATCATTGTAATTGTTAAGACTATCTAATTATGTCCAATCCAATGAAGTGGAAATAATTATAGGTAGGTAATACATTATTCAAATTTTATACCAGGCTTAATACAAAATCCTCCCTCTTCCCCTCAATAGACAATTCGTATAGGAACGGTACTGTTGAGGATGTGATGATTAAAAGAATAGAGTTTATAAAACTGAAATTCCAACATATATTTACTCTAGAAAATATTGGTAAAATGAAATATAAAATGCGACCACACACATTCTTAACAACCTCTACTGAAAAAGTGAACATAAAATGAACTCCTTGATATTTTGAAACTTATATAATCTAGTCAAATATGCTGGTTGATATCAATTCAATCAAAGAAATTGGATTAATTTTCACTTCTTCACAAGCCTGAATGATTGATTGGCCTCACTTTTAATCCTCCTCAAGAGATTTTCAACTTCTCCAGGGGCCTCTTCAGCCATCGAATGACCCCGAGTTTCAGGTAGGTCCTGAAAATTTGTTTTTGAATTATTTTCCAAAAATATACAACACATTCAAGGAGCGGAAAAACATTTGTGGAACTAACTTGTAGTATAACCACATCGGTTGGTATCAGGTGTCACCTAAATTTTCAAAAAATGTTTCATCAGTTTCAGTACTTACTTTTCTATTTGATGGACCAGGTGTGCTGTTTGTGCTGGCCCTACTCATGGGCCGATCTGATTTCATGGAACTGATGTTACTCAGCTGCCCAATTCTTCTCCTTTCTTCCATTCTGAATTGCCTGCGTTGCCCGGCCGAGGCAACATCAAGGTGCCGGAGAATCTCTTTGGATTCACAGTATTTTTTTGGGTCATAAGTGGGAACATTCAACTACAATTTTAATTTTGAGAATCAATCTTTTTTTACAATGAAAGTCAAAGTAAGTACTTGTCTAGGTTTTTATTGGAGTTAATCTTGTTTGGAGATACACAGAAAGTATTAATGATAAGCAATAGATGAAAATGGTATTAGTATGAAATGCTATTATACTCACATCATCCCAGCACTCATCTGTTGGAACATGGATATTATGGATGGGAAATTTATTAATCTCAACACCAGCTTCTTGGTAAATACTAATCTCTATTTTATGTCTATCTGGACAGTTTTCATGATGATACTGAAATTAATGAAAAATACTTTTTCTATTTACTTATTTATAATTATTGTAGAAATAGGTATGTACACAATCATTCATACTTAACTAATGTTGCTTAAATCAACAAGAATGTTCAGCTGCAACATGTTTTTCAAAATTTAGAGCAGTACTGAACTGTTTAAAGGTTTCACTCTATAACTGGAATATACCTGTAACTCTGGTTCTGGAATCTTGTGTATCACATTGAAGTCACATTCCACCAATTTAGTATCTGGATAGTTCTTTTTACATTTCACAAGATGTGTATTCAATCTTTTTCTCATTATATGATGGGCTGGATTGTAGGGGCACATAACTTTTTCCTCAGGACTAAAAAAAGACTTCAATAAAAGAGGTTTGGAAAGGAAACAATAAAAATATAAGTGAAAGTTTTGGCACCATATTGAAGATGACAAATTATTAGAAGATGCTTACTCAACGAAATTATCCATGTTTGTTGAGAAGATTGAATGTTGATATCTTGGTTGATATTATTCTCAAAAACTTGAAATTTTTATCAACTGCTTTTTTTTTCTTATTTTAACCTGTTGATAGTGTTGATAATGTTGTCGATGGTATTCTTGATGCTTGAGTAATGATTTGACTATTCCTGAAAATCTTGAATCTTGATCTAGCCCTATAAAACCAAAGTCAAAAAAGTGGGAGCTAATTCATCCAAGAGCCCTGTTTACACCACACGTACACAGACAGCTAAATGAGCTAAAGCTAACTAAGCTAAAGCTAAATACTGAATACTTCCAGCTTTGCTTCCAGCTGTCCTTCCAGCCAGCTTCCAGCTAAGGTGATGACTGATGGGTGATGACTGATGACAGTGATGACATGACGACTGATGACTTATGACATCTTATGACTGATGAAGCAGGGGTGTTTTCATTGGATGACGGTCGAAAATATGACAGAAGACGCTTGACAAAAAGTCAAAACTGTCAAAGGTCAAAATGAAAAAGCAACAAAAACAATAATTATTTATTGTGTTCCTATTTTAACGGCAGTTTCCTTATTTTGTTTTGCTTATTATTTTAGCTTAATCAATGAAATGTGCTTAGTGAACAGGATATGATGATAAGCACTGGTTTCTGGAAACTCTTCAACCATTGAAATTACCATAATCTATTTCAAATAATGAAGCCTGGGGGTTGGAAGTTGATAAACTCTTTCTGCTATATTGGTGAGTTCATGTACTTACTGTTTTATTATTTTGCAATTGATTGATATCAAAAATAGTTTCAACTACTGTATTATGCATGCTCTAATGATTCAGCAAGGTGATTCATAATCATGAGTAAATTCAGAGGTAGATGAAAAAACATGAATATTTTATCAGCCATGGTCAAATTCAAACAGGTGTTATCTTTAGGTAGTGGTTAGTAGATCGACTACTATGATTCATATGACATAAATGAATATTGTTATACTGTCCCTGTTTGTTTTTTCAATTCCTGATTGAATTCTCAAAAAGATCCTCTCTCTGTGAAAATCCTTAGGTATATATTGCTGGAGATATTGCTAGTTACTAAATTTGATCATGCAAACACAAATTATGCATCACTACATAAATCATAATCAAGACCATAATGTAATGTTGAAACTGTTGAGAGATACTATATCCAACATTTTTTGTTCTAGTTTGGAAATATTTATCTATATTAATTAGATGTCTTGAATATTCTAGTGAAATTGTATTCAGTATGGTCCATTATATCACATTTATTTGTAGTTTATCTACTACTAAATACCAACTTATTGATAATAAATAAGGGTATATTCATTGTATTGTAGGTATGTTCTGAAATGATAGATTTCTTATTGCTTTATAACTGAAAATTGATGAGATTGTGAGCAATGATAGGTATTGATAAATGTTATTTGATATAAAATTTCGTAAAAAGTCATCACAAAAAATGAAAATAGGTAAGTATAAATTTTTCAAAGATAAATAATATGTATTGTGATGGCTGATATAGTTATCTACAATACAAATAAAACTTCAAATTTGAATGCATACCTATTATGTAAACCACAACAGGTTTGAACAGCAAATATAGGTAGTGAAATTAGTGAAAAAATATTTGGAACTATCAGAAGTGGCTAAAGATCCATTTGCCCAATATAAAGGTGAGTAGGTGAGTATAAAAAAGAATAATTCATAATTATTTCTCATAGCTAGTACCTAACTCTATGGGAAGAATATTCAATTTTGCATTTTTTCCTATACCTATCAAAATTGTTAAGAAGTTGAAGATGCAATAGGTGTTACAATCAAAAATGTGCATTGTTCCTCATGATAGGTACCTATAAATTGTTGTAAAGTGTCCAAGCCAAAACTTCTGCTATCAAATATAATTATTAATACTATATCAATTGCCAGTATTTGGAATATGTGTACTAAAAATATTCAAATTAAATGAATGTGTTGAAATACGTGGTCTTTATCAGTTCATCATAATCAACATTTATTATGTCCATCCATGTGCGACATGTGTTCTCTGAATAAAGCTGTACATATCTATTACCTATTTCGCATTTATTTATTGCAACTCTTGACCATGGCATAATCTTTGAATCATGAGTTCGAGTAAACGACCTCTCAGCTCATAAGCTCATTCAAATTGTATTTTTTGCATCATTTACAAAGCTTAAACCTAACGCTTAACGGTGAATCAATGAAGAAGCCATGAAGCGTATGAAAATTAACTAGATACCCGCAACAAACACGGCAGTCACGACACACTATCTATCTATCTATCAAAGGAAATATATCATGAAGAAATAATAGTTTCCATAAATCCGTTGCCACAATTTTCTCAAAATTCACATCAACTTAAGGACATCCTGTAGTAGAGATTGAGAGAAATCTGTGTTAAGAGATTTCATTATGATCATATTGGATCATAGATAACATAATAACAGCAAAATATGATCAACGCGTTTCCAGGTTCCCAGGTTGTGTGGAAGTGTGGAATGCATTTACTAGCGTCTATACACAGGAGGGAATAAATAATCATCGCGGTGGGGAAACGTTACAGCGCGGGACAAACGTTGCAGCAAAATGATAATAATTATCTATTATTGGTAGGTGAATTACCAATATCCTCAGTGAAGGCTAACATTGTTCATCAGTTGGCGCTACTCTGCGCTACTATAACATGAGGTCAATGTCAAAGTCAAAAATCCCAAAATTTTGCCAGATGGCCCTAAAAGCTATGACCTGTTTTATAATAATAATAATAATAATAATAATCCGTCTTTATTTCCTCAAAAGAATATTACATAGTAACATGAGGCATAGGTGGTATGTGCATCAGGCGAAGTTTAGCTAGGAAGCTATTCTTACACTTAACCTGTGCTCGACTTATAACCTAATCCTAATACTAATCCTAAAAACCTAAATCTAGCTTGACATCTACATTTTCGCTTATTGTCTCACATGTAAAGTATGATTCAACAAATTGCTCTTAATTTTTTTACGGAATTGCGTCGATGGTGATTGTTTGAATTCTATTGGTAATGAATTATACAGTATGACCGAGTTGTATGTGAAGCTTCTTTCAAACAGAGACGTGGTATGATGAGGCATTGTTAATTTTAGCTGATGTCTAATATTTATATTATGGACATTTTGTCTGAAAATGAGTTTTTCTCTAAGATAAGCTGGAGTTTGATCCTTAAGCAACTTGTGAATGAAATTAAAGAAATAATATTTTGAGGAATTGCTCATATCTAACCACTGAAGTTTTATCGAAAAGAATGGTGTAGAATATTTGAACAAATAGAAAACCTCAAATTATCGAATGACGTGAGCCGATCCTGAAATTAAACATCGTTGAAATCACTCCAATCACTTTCAGTATCATCGGCCTCAACAGTAAATGCCTCCACAGTACCTTTTTTAGATTCTGCTTCACCAATCAGAATACGGAACGTAAGAAGTTTGGTTGTGAACGCCGCTTAAGAAAGAAGACAACTTTTTTCAGTCAATCTAACCCCACTCGGCTTAACTCGAGGCACACTGAACCTTTCTTGAAAGTATATTTTTTCGAAAAATCAATCGAGGAAACAAGTAAAAAAGCCGATCGTCGCAGGCATTGAAGTGGCGTCCGAACACACTAACAATTACGACACGCAGCTATTTGATCATTGCAGTATGAAGAAAGAATTTAGTCGCTGTAACGTTCCCCCACCGCGATTATCTGTTTCTTCCTGTCTGTAGACGTCTGGTTTTATATATACACGGCTGTCGGTGTAGTAGCCACTGTCAGTGTTTGATAAGAAAACAGAAAACAGCTGACCTGAATCGAGGTTGTCAAGTTTATCTGTAGATGTGGAACTCGTAACTCGTCCCGAACGAGTGTTCAAAGTCTATCAAACTAATAACACTTGATTTCGAAAACACTTCATTTATTTATAGCGAAACAACGATCGATCAGTTTTTTGTGAGTAGCTCTCGACCAAAGGTGAGTTCCAAGCTCATTGTGTGGCAATCTTTCCATTGAAATTGTTTGGTTTTTTAAGGACACTAAAATGGGTCGCGTATTTGTTGTTGGTGTCGGAATGACAAAATTCGACAAACCCGGCAAAAGAGCCGACGATTACCCAGAATGGGGAAAGGAAGCCATCCTAGCAGCCCTTGAAGACGCCAACGTCAAAATGTCCGAGGTGCAATTAGCTGCTGCAGGTTTCGTGTACGGAGACTCCACTTGTGGACAAAGGGTAATTTACGAGGTTGGCATGCATGGTATCCCGATTTTCAATGTTAACAACAACTGTTCCACCGGCTCTAGTGCTCTCATGCTAGCCAAAGAACTGGTAGAATCGGGAAAATGCGATTGCGCCCTAGCAGTAGGCTTCGAGAAAATGGAAAGAGGAAGCTTATCTTCCAAGTTCCAGGACAGAACCAACCCCATGGAAAAACACGTTGAAGCAATGGCGGAATTGACCGATATCCAATCCGCCCCTATGACAGCCCAAATGTTTGGCAACGCCGCTATCGAACACATGCAAAAATACGGCACTAAACCCATACATTTCGCCAAGATAGCTTACAAAAACCACAAGCATTCCATCAACAACCCCAAGAGCCAGTTCAGGGATGAATACACCCTAGAGCAAATCATCAATTCCCCTAATATTTTCGGTCCTATGACGAAATTACAGTGTTGCCCGACTAGTGACGGCGCAGCTGCCGCCATCATAGCTTCCGAAAGCTTCGTTAAAAAACACGGCCTTGAAGCTAAAGCCGTTGAGATCCTAGGCATAGAAATGGCCACAGATTTAGCTTCAACTTTCACGGACAAGAGCCACATCAAGATAATCGGCTATGATATGACCAAACTAGCAGCTGATAGACTCTTCCGCAAAACCAATAAGAAACCAAGTGATGTGCAAGTCATAGAACTGCATGATTGCTTCTCAGCAAACGAGCTGATAACTTATGAAGCCCTAGGGCTCTGCCCCCCAGGCAAAGCCGGTGAGTTTATTGACCGCGGGGATAATACCTACGGTGGTAAATTCGTGGTAAATCCTAGCGGAGGGTTGATTTCTAAGGGACACCCTTTGGGGGCCACTGGGCTAGCACAATGCGCGGAGTTGAGTTGGCAGCTCAGGGGTGAAGCAGGGGCTAGACAGGTCCCTGGGGCTAAGTTAGCCCTGCAACATAACATAGGGCTTGGGGGAGCTGTGGTTGTTGCTTTGTACCAGTTGGGTTTTCCAGAGAAAAGGCATAATGGAGCCCAAAGTTTGGCCCCCACAGGGGATGAAGGTTTTATAGTGACCCCCTATTTGAAAATCTTGCAGCAAGCTATGGATGAGGATGAAGATGGTTTGGTGGAGAACCATAGGTGTGTCTATGGGTTGAGGGTGGTGAGACCTGATGGGAAGACAGGTTTCTGGGTTATCAATACCAAGATCGGCAAAGGAAAAATAATTTTTAACGGGACTGATAAGCCGGATGTTACTTTTATTGTTAAAGATGGGGATGTTATGGATTTGCTTACTGGGAAGATTCCTCCGCAGAAAGCTTTCTTCCAGGGGAAGGTTAAGATACAAGGGAATATAGGGGTGGCCATGAAATTGATTGAGTTGCAGAAAACTGCTGCAAAGAAAATTGAGATTTTGCGATCCAAACTGTAAAATATCACTAAATTTTCACATTACAAACGCCATACCTGTCAATTTTGTTTGAAAAACTCATTGTGTTTTCTTTGTCCTTTGACAAGAATGATGTTTGTGACGTCACGTGTTTTTTTTACACCAAACATAATTATTTCAAGGAATTTCAAGCTCACTATCATTAATAAAAAAAATAATTGTTGGACCTTTGGGACTTTTGGTACTAGATACATACTATAAATAAACATTGAAATAATCAGAATATTTCTGAAATGTACTGAAGTTTACATATTATTACTTATATAACATTTATACTTTTGGTGTTCTAAGAATTGAAAGTTCCATTTTTTTTATCTTGATGTGGTATGACATTGTATCTTTTTTTTTTTTCATTTAGTGAGGATCTATTGAAGTAATGAATAAATCCAGTCAAAGTCTTGGGAGGATTTGAAAAAACAAAAACACAGTTACATATCTAATTTTTTAATTGGTTCCATATCTGAGTCTCCGCGTTCATTCAAAAATATTCCCATGAATTTTTAATGGATTTATTCCTTACTTCTGGACCATAATGTCTAAAAACATTGATATGGTATTGGTGATTCTTCAAAGGCTACAACATTATACGTATACAATAGGCATAAAGAAATATTTTTTACTGGAATTTGTTGAATTTTATATTGTTATAGGAAGGTGAAGTTTTAATAAAAAAATATATTATAATGAATATTGTTTGTGGATTTTTTTATCATAATCTATCAAGTGTTATGTCAGAGATAACGCATTCACTCTCCTTCAATCTGTATAGATAAATCTTCAAAGTGATTAATTTACTTGAATATGGAATGCAATCTATCAATCATTATAAAGAAGTGATCAAGCTCTTATTCATGAACATAATCTCAGAGCAATTGTTTTTAGGGTTTTGGTTAAAAAAATATGTTGTTGCAGTCGTTCATTTAGGTACAATAAAAATACATCCTCCATTGATTTTTTAATTGATAATGAACACAAGAGGCGTGTATATAGATCGTGACTTTTACTTCGATGATAATTTAATTTTGAAGAAAATTCAAGGGAATGTCATTCGAAAAAAAAAAAACTGAAATTAGGACGTGTAGCGGCGGGAGACAAACTGTGAGCTAAAATCTGATATTTTTCCCGTGTATAATGCGCTACCTATTTTTTTTATGTGACGGGAAAAAGGGCGAATCAATATTGAGAAGATAATCAACATTATATTGCAGGATTCCTCATGATTCTTTTGAATTAATCAAATATCTGTCAGTCCATTGTCGATCTAAATGGAAACCTAGTAGGTGACCTAGTGCGAGGAGGTATAACAGTCAGTCTTATTCTTTGATTCGATTTTGAGAAATGTCGAATTTAGTGGTTGTTTATACTAATATTATAAAAAGGAACGATTTGATTGTTTGTTTGTTTATTTGTATGTATTGAATAGGCTCCGAAACTACTGGATCGATTTGGCTGAAAATTGGTGGGGAGGTAGCTTAGGACCAGGAGACGGTTATAGGACACTTTTTATAACGGTACCATTAGGAAATTCAAGATGGCGGATCTAATGTATCGGACGAGTTTTGTAATTATATGGTCCGATAAAGGTGGATATATGTATGGTGAAATAGCTCCCTCTTACAAAACCCTAGAAATTTTTGTAGACCTCTGGCCTACTTGATTATGTCGAATTCCATCACCGCAGTAAGGCCGCGCAAAACTAACGCTAGAGGCGCTGTTCCCGAAGTGATCTTGCTACACAATGGTTGTTTTGTTGTTTACATTTACGTATATTAATTCGTAATTTGAAAACATTGAGAAAAAGTGATTGATTTAATGAAAAAGACGTGAAGTTTCCATTATATCTGTGAAGTATATGTGGCACAATGTTCCCTACGCCATCTACAGTCAATCCGGTGCGGCCTTGCTACAGTGTTTCGCGGTCTACACGTTTTGGAAAAAAACAATTGACAAGTGGTTACACCAGTCTAGGTCCGATTATATTCAAAATTGGTATCTGGGGGTTTTCGGTGTCGGAGATTATGATTCTTTCGTCAGAATTTGGAAATTCAAGATGGCGGGCGAGCTTTGTAATTATAATCCGATTCTTTCCAAAATTGGTACCTAAAGGGGTTTTCGTGATCGGGGACTATGATTCCTTCGTCAAAATTAGGAAATTCAGGATGGCGGATCCAAAATAACGGATTTTGTAATTAGGATCCAATTTTATTCAAATTTGGTATCTGGTGGTTCTCGGGGTCGGAGATTATGATTCTCTCGTCTAAATTAGGAAATTCAAGATGACGGACCCAATATGGCGGACCAGTATTGTAATTATGATCCGACTCTCTTCAAAATTTTTATCTGGGTGTTTTCGGGGTCGAAGATTATGATTCTTTTGTCAAAATTTGGAAAGGGCGGGATCTGGAAATTCGAGACGGTGGAACCAATATACCGGACGAGTTTTGTAACTATGTCACGACCCTAGTCTTCCTGATGGGATAAGGCCACTGGATCATCTTTGAGGGTAGCTCAGATAGGGTAGATCATATCAACTCAGACACTAATAGTTTAAGGGGTATGAGAAGTAGTAAAACCCGTGTTAAAACCACAAATACATTTATTACATCATTGATATAAAAGAGGAATCATCCAAATGCGATACAAAATAATTAAGTGGTACTTACAATATAAATAGGGCCATTTCGGAGAGGGTTGTCTGGTAGGATGCACAAAGACCTAACTAACTCGTTAACGCGACGACTGACTGTGCGAACCCCTAGATTCCACGACCGACGGCAACTACCCGCTAATCAAGTATCCACTATCAGTTCTCAACTATCAACTATATCTTCAATAATCATAATCTGTATTTATCTGAATTCTCAAGAACTATTATTGTTTAGGTTATTCTCGGTACGTTACTAATGGAGGTTACTCAGTCGTACAGATTGTTAACGAGTCAATGTCAAAACGTGTTCGAAATGTTTATAAACTTTTCTGTTCAATGAGAAAAGCACGATTTATAATTTTATAGAAATATTGAATTATTAATGACTTTGATTATGATTTTGGAAAAATTACTTAATTGTAAAATTGGTACCTAAAGGGGTTTTCGTGATCGGGGACTATGATTCCTTCGTCAAAATTAGGAAATTCAGGATGGCGGATCCAAAATAACGGATTTTGTAATTAGGATCCAATTTTATTCAAATTTGGTATCTGGTGGTTCTCGGGGTCGGAGATTATGATTCTCTCGTCTAAATTAGGAAATTCAAGATGACGGACCCAATATGGCGGACCAGTATTGTAATTATGATCCGACTCTCTTCAAAATTTTTATCTGGGTGTTTTCGGGGTCGAAGATTATGATTCTTTTGTCAAAATTTGGATTGGGCGGGATTTGGAAATTCGAGACGGTGGAACCAATATACCGGACGAGTTTTGTAACTATATACCGATTCTATTCAAAATTGGTAAGTGGCCGTTTTTGGGATCAAAAATGATGATTCTTTCGTCAAAATTAGGGAATTCAAGATGGTAGATCCAATATTGCGGACGAGTTTTGTAGTTATGTTCCGATTCTATTCAAAATTTTCATCTTGAGGTTTTAGGAGTCGGATATTATGATTCTTTCGTCAAAATTGGGAAATTCAAGTGAACTAAAAAGAAGTTGAAATCAATGGTAGTTTGAAAAACTAAAGAAACACGCTTTTATAGATAGCGAAACTAAAAGGAAGTAGAAAATAAAATAATAATAGTGTCTTGATGAATATTAAACTAAAAAAATATATTATAGAAATAATGTATTTACAGGGTGATCCACGGTGGATGGCCTATTTGAAGTATCTGGAGAACGAAAAGACAGAACATTCTGAAAATTGGGATGCTTTGATAATTGAACATTCTCTATCCGTCTAAAATATTTTCATCGATACAGTGTTGCCAATTCTATCAGAAACAACTAGCACAACTTCGTTTTTTCAAATGGAACACCTTGTATTTTATTGCATTCTTCGATGCTCTCTTCTAAAGAGATATAGGGTGTTCAAAATCGAGATTTTTCAATTTTAGGATTTTTTTGTGTCGAAACTATTCATTATCGATCAAAACGGCTTACATGTCCCTACCTTGACTCCTGATTCACTCTCTACTGGAATTTAATTGGAAAAAATACAGGGTGCTTCAAGATTCAGAATTCTGATCACCCTGTATCTGTTTTTTGAATAAATCACAGATCATCAATCCGTGATTAATCGAGCATTTAGCGTGGTACATATCCGTAAGCTAAATGCCATTTTAGTTATGTGAGTAGAAAAATAAAAAAACACGCCTAATGCTGCCCTTAAATTTACCCCAATATTGACGGATATCTAGCTATAAAAATGAAACGTGTAAATTTGTTACAGTTATTATTTACATATCAACTATATGTGCATACAGCGGAGCTTTTAACTTTGGGCCATCCAACCAATCAGAAGCCTATTTCAATGGTTCCTCCTATTTAAGACTGCAGAATACTATATCTCTAAAAAAACAAACTGGACTGAGCTTCAGAACATGCTACGGTAAGTAACACGCATTTTGAATAAAAATCAACAGTCGTAGTATACAGGGTGTTTCCGAAATTGGGGCAATAAATGAAATAGATTATAGGAGTAGAAATTACAAAACGAAATGAAAAAATACTTTTTTTGTAGAAAATGATTATTTTGGAAGATATTGAGCCTGAAACGTTTGTAAATCATTGATCAGAGGTTAATAGCCCATCCCAAGTGTTTGCTTTCGGCGAGATCACAAGCACCGGAAGTATCAATGACTTTTGCAATGTTGCTAGACGTTCCATAATAGTTAAAAGATGTAGTATGGTGGGAGCGCACATTTTTTGAAACAATATACAGGGTGGTCCGTTTTTTATTACAGAAAATTCAACAGCGTATGGTACTAGCTGAAATAATAAAAAACTAACAATGGACATATACTTTTGAACTCTTTGCATTGGTTTGGTTCTTATTTTTTCCTTCTAAAACGAAGCTTGATGAGAAGAAATCTTGGATGGCAAAAAAAATGTATTTTGAGATGCTTCAACCAGAAAAATCACAAACATTCGAAAAAATCTACTTTCTGCTATTTGTTTTGCAAAAAACTTATGGACTTGCCCCGTAGGCAGGCCCCTGGAAAGACTTCATCAACTGTAATAGGTTCAAAAGATAGCTCATTGATATTTCCACAATCGATGTAAATTTAATCACAATCGGTTATAGCGCTTTCGAGAAATCAATAAAAAATCGATTTTTGAAAGAAACTCAAAAACGCTATATCTCGGAAACGAGACCTCATTTTATTTATCGCTCCAATTTCTGAACTACCTTGTATGTATTACCTTGTTGTGTAGCCTTGTTTTTTGATTTTCAAGTCGTATTTTCCATCCAAAAATGTTTTTCTAGGTGGTAGTTTATTTTCCCAACAACAAAATGACGATTTGATCGAATTATCAGTGAATGTCGAGGGTATTGTGTTCCTGGCTAAAACTTCTGGAAAATTCTTCGAACACAAGATCTCTGGCAATTTCCTTAACAACAAATGGCATACAGTGTATCTGCAGTATAGACTCGGCAATCTGACCTTCGATATTGACGGAGAAACTGAGGTATTTGATGTTTCACCACTGACATAACTACTATCTAGACCGCTATACTGGGTGGTCTAACAATTTTAAGGCATTAAAATGAAAATATGGAAATACCACTGAACTATAACCCTACGAATGGAATGCCGATGCATGATATCAATATACAGTGTGTCCCACTTACCATGCTCACCATGGGTATCTTTTTAACGGTGAGAGATACGAGGTCGGTTAAATGACACCAAATGTGGAGTTTGTCAAGGCCAACTATAATGTGAAGAAATATTTTGATAAAATCTATTCGTTTTTGTTTTATACGCAAAAAACAGATTTTGATCATTTTCATGTCTCCTCCGTAACTTCTTTATTTATGGAAATATTCAAATAGGAATTTCACATTCTCATGGCAGTTTTTCAAAGTGATTTCGAAAGAAATATAAAATTTATTCCAACTCTTCTAGAATTTGAGATATCAGTACCAACTTTAGTTTTTCAAATGTAGGTCATAGCTCACTATGACTTAGTTACAAATAACTTTTTTTTCTCTTTCAGATGATATGTCGCAGTAATAGTTTTGTGTTGATAACAACGGGGTTATCGTCATTTATACAAAAACAAAAAAAAATATTCGGAAGCCGCCATCTTGAATTTATGAATTTTAACAAAAAATCATGATCTCCGACCTCAAAAACCTCGACTTACCAATTTTGAATGAAATCGGACCAAATCTTGTCCGCCATCTTGGAGCAGCCATTTTTTTAAATTTCAACAAAAATTCCATAATGTATTGTCACCGAAATTATGAACACCTGCCAAATTTCAAGTTGATCGGAGTTATGGAATTTTTGTTGAAATTAAAAAAAATGGCTGCTCCAAGATGGCGGACAAGATTTGGTCCGATTCCATTCAAAATTGGTAAGTGGGGGTTTTTGAGGTCGGAGATCCTGATTTTTTTGTTAAAATTCATAAATTCAAGATGGCGGCTTCCGAATAATTTTTTGTTTTTGTATAAATGACGATAACTCCGTTGCTATCAACACAAAACTATTACTGCGACATATCATCTGAAAGAGAAAAAAAAGTTATTTGTAACTAAGTCATAGTGAGCTATGACCTACATTTGAAAAACTAAAGTTGGTGATGATATCTCAAATTCTAGAAGAGTTGGTATGAATTCCATTTTTTTTTCGAAATCACTTCGAAAAACTGCCATGAGAACGTGAAATTCCTATTTGGATATTTTCGTAAATAAAGAAGTTACGGAGGAGACATGAAAATGATCAAAATCTGTTTTTTGCGTATAAAACAAAAACGAATAGATTTTATCAAAATATTTTTTCACATTATAGTTGGTCTTGACAAACTCCACATTTGGTGTCATTTAACCGACCTCGTATCTCTCACCGTTAAAAAGATACCCATGGTGAGCATGATAAGTGGGACACACTGTATACATACGCTCATTAGAACCTCGCGCAGACATGGCTGATTTAAGCGATTATTTCTTGCCCATTGAAGTATGTTGAATTATTATGTATAATAGTGTGCGAATTTCCTCTTTTCGAAGACTGTCATCAAATGATGACATTTGAACACAAAATACTTCGGCGTTATTTTGCCGAGTTTTGAATCATAATGTATAATACTATGAGAATTTACGTTTTTCGAAGACTGTCATCAAATGTTGACATTTGAACACAAAATACGTCAGCTTTATTTTGCCGAGCTAAAAATCTAGAGAATAAGAGAAAATGTCAATTCTTTTGAAACTCTCGTCACAATAGTTATTGTTTATTGGTGGGAAACTGACACCAATTTGTTCATTTTTTGTCGAATTGTTAGCGCTCTCATGAACTCAGTTTGTTGTCTCTCAAGGTGATACAACTTTATTTTCAAGTATATCTCTACGGTGGTTTTATCAACCTGAGTTTATGATTTTCTAAAAGTGATTTGTCAAGGACATGATCATAATAGGAGAAACCTAGTTTTCTTTTTCCATTTCGGCACAAGAACAGCATGCATCCCTGACCCATATTGTCTAAATAATAGTCTTTTAAATGAGAAGTCACCAAAGTCACGGTCACAACTCAAAAATATAAACGAACAAAATACCATCCAAACACCAGGACACAAACACGATCATGAACAATGAAACAATGGAAATAAAAACCATATGAAAACGAAAAATAATAAAGGCGTGGTAGATGATGGGCACAAAAATATCTGAGCCTCTCCTGATGGGAGCACACCTAATCAACGACATACGTCTGCGGTTGTAAGCACACAATCACGGACATCCTTTTCATATCTTGTTTCTACTGCGTCGGCGCAGAACCTTGAAGTCATGATCTCCATGGGAGGCGTAAAATATTCACGCGCAGGTAGCTGTATCAGCATTCCATTTGTAGGGTTATATTTCAGTGGGAAATACGCCTGGACCCGTAGATTTCTGATTCGAGGGGAAACGACAAAAACCTTGTTGAATATTCACATATTGCGTCCACAAACTTTTTTGTGAAAAAAAAACTAATAAATAAACTAGGCAAAATTGATTTCGTCGCACCCCAAAATATTGGCCCTATCAAAATATGAATAACTTTTTTCGGATCACACTGTTGGATAGCCCAGTCCTGCAGTTGCAACTCGTACTTCTTCAACCCCTAACTTCTAACGTTCCAAATATATAACGTTGTCACTAACCATACGTCTCACAGACGGTACATGCCCATCTAAATCCAAATGTTTTATTTTTGTGAGCTATTGAGACACGTTGTCTAGATATTTGGCGAAGAGAAAATGATGTTCAAAAATGAAATAGAAATACAAATTCCAGTGGCGATCAAAATGTCATAGAGGAGTACCTAATGTTCAAAATTTTGACATTGAAATACTAAAATAAAATTGGAATACTGAATTCAGTTAGAGTCGTAATAAAATATAGCACAGAACTAAGTCAGGAACATGCAAATTGAAAAAAATGATAATGCCTGTATATCTAGATATAGACGCAATCATACGTATTATAGGCGAAATTGAACTTTTATTGTTACGTAATAACTAACTATACGTCTACGAGACGGCAATCTATCTTTCACTCAAGATATTTCTAAAACTGAACCACATACATAAATCAACTTCAGGGTACTGAATGTCTGAATGAGTGCTGGGTGGACATAAATTACGTGGTAGGAAAAAGGCCGATATTGCAAAGCAGGGGTAATCCAACAAATCGGATGCTGATATGCCGTCTCTGAGACGTATGATTAGTACTTAAGGGTTAAAACATGAGGTTCCTCACATGAAATCGGGAACTCCCAAACTGTCGTTCATGACATCACATGAGTTAGTAAGATATACAGGGAGTCCCTAAAAGGCCTGTACATAATATTAGCACATATTCTTGAGGTCAAAATAAGCCGATTTAAAACAACTCACCTCAGTCCCAAATGGCTGCGTTTCCGAGATACAGGATGGTGAATTTAAAAAATAAAAAAAGAACCGAAAGATTCATTTTTGCACGGCTAATTCACTGACCTAATTACATTCACGAAGATAACAGCGAACAGGATTTATTCAAAATAATTTAAATAACTGAAATATCTCGAAAACGGCTTGCTTCAACGGATTTTCACAGGAGTACGTTTCTTTTCTTAAGAAAAAAGTGAATAGCTAAACTGAGAGAAAAGTTATGACCAATCTGAACCATAAGAAGTGCATTGGTAAGCGCCCTCTAATAGACAGTGAAATAGTGCCCGTATTCGGGTTTCGCATTCCAAAATACTGTGGCCGTTACCTTTCGATATTGCTCACATATAGGTATTATCGCCCGGTAAGCGGTTTTTTGCAGATGATAAAGGAACTGACGTCTATAACTACAATGTACTGAATGTTTTAATTTGGAAAAGTTAATTTTTGATAAAAGGTCTTGAAATGAACGAGGGTTTGAGTGATGTTAATTCATAGGCATTTGTACTTCTTGACAATACTCTCGGCTACCAATTTTTGAAGTAATACGTTTAAGAATGTTCAAAAAATTTCAAACATTCGAAAATATACCACTCTGTAACTTGAAAACAGCAATTTCGGACTGATGTAAGGGCTCTAATTCGAATTATTTTGACTTCAAGAATATGTGCTGTGATTTTGTACATACCATTTTGGGACACCCTGTTATTACAGGTCCTGAATGCGTACGGTCCATTGAACCAAGTTCAAAATCTTATACGAATTAGTTTTGATCTTATGACAATAGCAGTCTAGTTAGTAATTTGTGTCGGTGTGTTTCACCAACAGCTTCGCTCACTCATGATTCTTATTTTATGTTGCTTTCCAGCTGATATCGAATTCCAGTTATCGCAATGAATTACTTGTTAGCCCAGGCTTGTACAATGAGGGGGCTGCCGTACTTCTCATTGGAAAACAGTTTAATGGTTGTCTGTTGGAAGGACCTTCGATTGTTTTCGATTCTGGTCTGATAACTTCCAGTCATAATGTAGTGTTTGAACCCTGCCCCATACCATATGAAAGTTGTAAGTATAGTGTAACGAATTTGATTTCAGATTTTGTATAAGTTGATCCTTTTTGTTCGAATCCTACCGACTACGCCATTTTTGTAGATTCTCTATACATTTCAGGATTGATACGTTTCATTGATAACAGGAATACATTGATATTGGATATCAATAACCCAACTTGATTATGTACAGCATCATATTGTTATTTTATATCTGATCCTGCATTCCTGCAAATATTGAATTACATGGAATAGACGAAGATACTTACAGATTATATCGGCAAGGAACATCACCTGCTTTGTACTCAGATCCAACATATCCAATGAATTCATAGTTTTAATGTTTTCGATTTTCCTTCAATTGACTGGGCCCTTGCTTCATGGAAATATAAAAAATGTAAACAACATTTCCGCTTGTGATGACGTCAGCTGCCACATATGTTGACGTATTAAGTCACTGACATGTGCAGGATTAGGCAGAATCGTTATTCATAAAGCCGGTGCTTATGACAGACAGATCCTCATTCAAGGCCGATGCAGAATTCTACTGACAATCAATAATCTATGGTTATCCATAATGGCGGTGCCTATGACGGTATTTTCGTCATCCAGAGGTTTGTTTCGCATATTCCTCCTGCGGAAAAGACATCACTTTCTAATGAACTCAGTTGAACCGCAGAGTTATCCCCACCATTCGCAATTTCATTCATTCATCCGTGTTTGACGTTTAGGATTGGTAGCGTATACTATTCAACGATTTATGAATGAATCGCGGTGTCATCTATTTTTACTTAGTATGAAGTTATGACAGTCACTTCCTCATCCAGGTGTTCTCAAGAAGAAGCTAATGGACTTCGACTACTGCACAACGGTATAGACTATGACAGACGTCAAAATGAAACATACAGACATACTTTACACATTATCGCCCATATGAAAATTGTAGTATTACGTCGACAATCATTATCTATAATGCCGGTAGATATGACAGACATTTCCTCATTCAGGTCAATGCAGAATTCAGTATACAATTGGTTATTCTGAAGGAATCAATGATATGAAACTGAAATATGGAAATATTGTCACTATGAAAGCACTTATTTTCACTTCTGATTAAAATCAAGGAGCCATCACCATGACAGAATATGACAAATCGTTGGTAAATACCTGATTCGAGTGCCATTCTTACGAATTATTGACTAGTACTTCATTAAATGACGAAAAACTACCTTGGTGGTAGATAAAACACACTTCACGCCTTGAAAAGAAGTGAATCATGTTAGGTTCTATAGCTAGGTAGATATGACAGACAGTTCTTCATTCAGGTCAATACCGAATTCATTCGACAATCGATAGTCTACGGTATAGACAATGGACTATAAAAACTTTTTTCTCCAAGCGGCAGGGAAAGTGGCTTTTCTTTGACACTTAACAGGGATAAAAGGTGTACTTTTACTGCCTAGGCAGGAAAAGTTTGTTGCTATGCAACGTTCCAAGAAATCCTAATAAAATTGGTAATCAAACTGTCAGCCGCGGCAGTCAATCTACTACTTTCCTGCCTAGTAAAACAAATAACTATTTTATATCTACGTCAAAAATTTCATCACTCTCACCTTCGCCATATTTCAATACTGTGTTAAGTTTTCGTAGTCCTTCATCAACAATGAAATTTAATAAGAGTGCTACCTTAACATCATCTGGCTTCTTATCGGACCCACTTGCCCATACAGATTGTTCAGAAGCTGTCATTATGCGAAGATATCAATGATATTTCTAGGTATTAAGTTGATAGATGGGTGCCAGTTTATTCACAGTTAGGACCTGAGACTAACTAGCTAAAAATAGTGCTTCATTCTGCTTATATCTCCTGCGCAAAAGACATCACTTTCTGAGGACCTTTGTGAAATCGCAGAGTTATCACCACCATTCGCGATTTCATTCATGTAACCGTATTTGGCTAGTGGGATTGTTGGCGTATACTTTTCAATGATTCATCAATGAATCGCGGTGTCTTTCCATTGTTATTTTGTCACAGAGCATCATCCGCAAATGTACAAGTGTCTGTTATTATCCCCACCAGTCCCGATTGCGATTTTACTAAATATACTGCACGCTAGCACACCATAATACGTCATATCTCCAAACATTACCGATATACTCGGAGTCAGCACATCGCACTAAATATACTGTGCTCCAACGCAAGAATACACTTCATGATTTTGACACGAATTCGACTGAATCTCTCTCGTTGTCAATCTCTTGTACGCAATAAATTCATATACCCAAATGGTCTACTGGTTAGCGCTGTCGACTTTCAGTCTGAAGGTCCATGGTTCGAATCGCTGTGAACTTGAACTTTTTTTTGCAACTTTTTTTTTCACCAATGTTTTTTTACTTCAATCTGGTTTTCCTTTTTCATAAAATATTTGAAGTCAAATAGGTTAGTGCGTTTAGGATAAACAGTCTCATTTTATTCAATTTTGTTGATGAACTCAACTTTTGAAATATATTATTAATCAATGTGTTTCTACACTCCATTCGGTTTTCCTTCCTCAAAAATATTGCAATCAGGGATAGGTTAGTTCGTTAAGGATAAATAGTCTCTGAGTTTTGCCTAAGTACTTCGAAGATGAGATATTACGGTGGGCGTGGTTTGTGCTAGCGTACAGTATATTTAGTAAAAGCGCGTCCCAATTCCATTCATTCTTCCGTAATTGGCGTTAAGGATCGGTAACGTATACTTTTCAATAGTTCATGGATGAATCGTGGTGTCTACCTTATTATCTAGTCTGAGCACTCATCTGCAAATGTTATTTGTATGTTATTATCCCCACCAGTCGCGATTTCATTCAATAATGCGTGTTTTCCATTTGGGATTGTTTGCGTATACTTTTTGATGAATCGCGGTGTCTATTGTTATCTAGTCTGAGGCTATGACAGTCATTTCGTCATCTAGGTGTTCCCAAGGAGAAAATAATCGGCTTCGACTACTGCACGACCGAACCGTGCATGCGTCACGGGACATGTCTAAGCGGCCACAACACCTACACGTGCGCTTGCCTGCCCCGCTATACGGGCAAGAATTGCGAGATCGACCTGGGTAGCCCGTGCGACCGCAAACCGCCCTTGTGCAAAAACTCGGGCACGTGCATTCCCGATCCATCGGGGGACTTTTCTTGCGTGTGTGAACCCAATTTTACGGGGACGCGGTGCGAGAGGGAAATCAGAGTGCCGGCCAAGTGCAAGAACAATCCGTGCTCGAGCGGTGGGATTTGTGATGTGGATGCTGAGACACAGAACGTCATTTGTCGCTGCAGGTAAGTACCAAATATACAGGGTGTCCCTAAAAAGTCTGTACAAAATCTCAGCTCCGATTTTATTGTATATTGTTACTAGATCTTTCAAAACTAGAATTGTAACTGATAAAATGAAAATTGCTAAAGTCACACCGATACATAAAACTGGAAAAAGAGATGACTTTAAGAAGAAGAAGTAGTTTATTTGAAATAGGATGTCCTAATATACAACAACAAAAATTATACAAAAAAAAATTACATACTAGTTCACAACAATTAAAAAACATACATAATATATAAAAATATAAAAATCACAAATATTAAAAGGTACAAATAGTTGAAAATTGAAAATTTTTAAAAATATGGGTACCTATATACAGTATGATGCAAATGTATGGAATAAATTCATTTCAAAACAAGACGACTTTAGAAAAAAAAACAAAAACTAGGGTTTAGAACTTTTTTTTCGACGTATTTTTTTAAGTAGACGACCCTTCGATGTTCAATTCTCAGTAGCAGACCTCTGCAAGATTCAATTAATCACATGATAATCCATTTTAATTTCAATCTTCTTATGCAACATTTTGACTGTTGAATAGACGATCGGTAGACCTTTCAATCAAGGTGTCACATGACCCCTATTTGTATTTGAAAAAAATCGTCCATTACGTCTTTACTCCAACACCGGTGACGTAATATCTCTCATATGAATATCATGAGATGAGGCTTCAGAAATTAAAACTCACGTGTTTTTGGAATTTTTTCAAATGTCGCCCATTTCTGAAATAATTAATTTATTCCATACATTTGCATCATACTGTATAGTACAATTCATTGTAAAGATAATACTTTATGGCATAAATTGACTGGGCACCAGGGAAAATATTGAGAGATCAATTATTTCTTTTTTATAAGTTGGTTAAAATCTCTTTTGAAAATATTCAGTGACTCACTATTTCTCAGTGACGTAGGCAATTTGTTGTATTCATTGAAACCTTTGAAAAATAATGACTTCATGGTATTAGAATTATTTGTTCTTGTAATATGCAGATTATTCTTATTCCTCGTAATGTAATTGTGAACTTCTGTATTGAAAACTATGTAATTCTTGAAATATGGAGGAGCCAGATTGTTCAAAATTTTATATATAAAAACCATACTAAGATAATATAATCTTTGGGAAACTGTGAGCCATTGAAGTGTATCCAGCATAACATCAATTGGGGTATAACGGTTTGACTTCATTATGATACGCATTCCACGATTTTGGAGCTTTTGAAGCTGGGATAGTTTGTTGAGGTTAAATGTATATAAAATTGTTGCACAGTAGTCAAAATGCGGTTGAATAATGGTCTTATAGACAGTGATTTTGGTTTCCATTGATATATTGTTTGCAATTCTTGAAAAAAAATATAGTTTTTTAGATATTTTATTCTTTATGTATATTAAGTTTAAATACTTGTGTTTATATTTAGTTGTTAATATCATAGCTTTAGTTTTAGACACGTTCAATTTAAGTTTGTTGATTTTCAGATATTCCTGAACAGCTGATAATACGGAATTCATTTTATCAATTGCTCTGTTTATATTGGAGTCACTGCAGGCTAGTAAGGTGTCATCAGCGAACAAGTTTATGAATTCACAATCTGTATAAAGATCAATATCATTCAGATACAGGATAAATAAGATGGGGCCTAGTACACTACCCTGAGGCACTCCGACTGAATTCACTATTTTATTCAATTCCCTACCCTAATTCTTTGTTTTCTACATACAAGATAATCAGCCATCCAATTGTATACTTCCCCACTAATACCATATTGACTCAATTTCGATAGTAATATGCCCCTGTCAATTGTTTCGAATGCTCGTTTCAGGTCAAGAAATATAGCCACGACATATTTGTTATTATCCATGTCATTTCTGAATTTATTCAGTGAAAGTTGCAGGGATGATTCACAAGAGTATTTTTGACGGAATCCTGATTGATTTTTCATCAATATATGAATTTAATAACTACAGACCGATTTCAGTTCTCCCGATCCATTCAAAAATTATTGAAAAAACGATGAATAAGCGTATTCTTGATTGTCTTGAAAATAATGGTCTACTATACAGTGGTCAATATGTATTTCGCCGATCGAAAGACACTGAGGTAGCAGTTATGGATGTCATTTCGGATATTCAGTTTGAAATTGATTAGAATTATAAATGTGGTCTCTTGTCTTTAGATGTATGTAAAGCTTTCGATATCAGGTGGTATCAGAGGAAAAATATTTGATTGGTTAAAAAATTATCTGGAAAATAGAAAGCAGTATGTTGAGGTCAATAATATTTGTAGCTCCATAAGGGGGATCAAATGTGATGTACCACAAGGTTCCGTTTTAGGTCCAATTTTATTTTTACTTACGTTAATTTAATATCATCTTTGAAACTGAAAGGAGATCTAAAGTTATTCGTGGATGATACTACACTAATCTATTCCTCTAAAGAATTTAATGATATAATTGATGATATAAAAATTGACTTGAGAATCATATAATCTCGGTTACAAATTTGACTTTTAAAGCTGACTCTTAACTATGACAAATACAACAATATTTTTCGACCAGAAAGCCACAAAATATTTAGATGATACAAAATTCTTAGGTCTTTATATTGATGAACAATTATCGTGGGCAAAACGTCCCTCTTATATTGCGATTCTTAGGTCTTTATATTGATGAACAATTATCGTGGGCTAAACGTCCCTCTTATATTTCGATTCTTAGGTCTTTATATTGATGAACAATTATCGTGGGCTAAACGTCCCTCTTATATTTCGATAGTCAACTGTTTTTGTCGTCAAGTTTGGGCGAAACAAAAGCGCGTCAGTGCCAACACCATACTGGTTGCGTTTTATTTATCCGATTCTGCCACCGGAATCACTTTAATGTGTCGTGGTATTTGCAACTTTTCCGATTCGGGTTGCTACTTTCCATTCCAACAAGGAATGACGTGGAATGACTGTTGACAGTTGTCAAACAATTAAATTAGATTGATGGAAAACGAATCTTTTTGAAAGTAAAAGACATTCAGAAGACATTTTTATCATGAGTTTCACAAGTTTATGATTCTTACAAAACACAAGCATGTCTTTCCTCTAGAAAAGCCGATCTCACTGTGCCCAAGATAAGCTTGTCAGGAGTAACCATACCTTTGAAGACATCCATTTCGATGCTTGGTTAGCAATAACCATTCTTGGGAAAATCACGTGAGATCAATTGCTAAAAGTGCATCCCAAAAACTTGGTTTTCTGTTTCGGGCCAGGAGCTATTTCACTTCCAGTCAACTGCTTATGATCTATAAGGCACAGATCCGACCTGTCCTGGAATACTGTTTCCATATTTGGAGTGCAGCACCCAAATATACCCTGAAACTGTTGGATTCTGTCCAAAAAAGGGTAATTCGTCTCGTGAGTGATACCTCACATTTATGTCAGTAGGTGAATCTTGTCATTTCTTAGGCCCGGATACGAGGGGGACCGTTGCGAAATCGACATAGACGAGTGCATGTCCAATCCCTGCATGAACGGCGGTGCTTGTACGGACGGCTTCAACAATTTCACGTGCGATTGCGCGCGCACCGGCTACAAGGGCAGGATCTGCGAGGTCAACATCAACGAGTGCATTGCCAACCCTTGCTCCAATCAGGGCACGTGCTTCGACACCTACGGGTCGTATTTGTGCCAGTGTTTGCCCGGGTTCGCCGGGAAGAATTGCCAATATGTACGTATAATATGTTCTTTCTTTCATTCGTTGTCATTCATTTATTGTTATTGTTCTACATGACACACTGGCTATATCCCGAATTCAACTGACAGTACTGAATCTACTGATTTTTCATACTGAAATAAAAAAAAGTGAGCAGACATACTATTCACTCCAAATATTTCGACTCAACATTCAGCTGACTATCAAAAGGTAGTGTGGCTTCAGTGAATTGTCAGTATTTTAGAGGGGGGCAGGGAAGGAATGTCACATTCATTTCAATTGTTTTTCAAACATCATGTCTTGTCTTATCAATAATAAATTGAATCATTTTTAATATCAGAAAATGCCTGGTTATTTAAATATTTCGACTCGACATTTTGCTGAAATTGCTGACTATCAAAAGGTAGTGTGGCTTCAGTAAATTGTCATCACTTCAGAGGGGGGAAGGAATGTCAAATTTATTTAAAGTGCGATTGCGCACGCACCGGTTACAAGGGCAGGATATGCGAGGTCAACGTCAACGAGTGCATTGCGAACCCTTGCTCCAATCAGGGCACGTGCTTCGACACCTACGGGTCGTATTTGTGCCAGTGTTTGCCCGGGTTCGCCGGGAAGAATTGCCAATATGTACGTATAATATGTTCTTTCTTTCATTCGTTGTCATTCATTTATTGTTATTGTTCTATATGACACACTGGGTATATCCCGAATTCAACTGACAGTACTGAATCTGCTGATTTTTCATACTGAAATAAAAAAAAATGTGAGCAGACATACTATTTATTCCAAATATTTCGACTCAACATTCAGCTGACTATCGAAAGGTAGTGTGGCTTCAGTGAATTGTCATTATTTCAGAGGGGGGGAAAGGGAAGGAATGTCACATCCATTCCAGTTGTTTTTCAAACATTGATAGCGTATTCGACTGGTTTGCACTGACACGGTATAGATGCGTATTTAGCACTGCACTGACTTCGGACAGAATTCGTTTTGTTCGAACCAATCTAGAGCAGATGCATGTCGATAATTCGAATTATTCTGGTGCTGTATGGGTAAAGATCAATACTGATATAATGAATATTTGATTGGTATGTTTAGGTAAACGTGCTGTTGGATTCTAATGCGGGATCAGGCTAGATCTAATCAAATATCTCAATTCAAAATTGACAAATTGTCGAATTATTTCTCAAATTTCGAAGTATGGAGAGAATAATTATTCGCGGCATTATAAGTATAGAGATATTTTGTGAATTATCAGAGGTTTCGATGGTGTATAGTAGGTATAATGGAATTTCGTCATTTACTACAAATACCTCGTATTCCAATATTTTATTGCAATTTCTGAATATCATTATTTTTCTGCCTTTCTTTCTCATCCTACTTCGATTTTATGAATTCAGAAATTTCATTATTGCTATCGACTGTTGCTCGACAATAGGGAATCCATTATTAGTCGTTTTATAACATTCATTTAGAAATCTGAACATAACAATGTAAATCATCACCCAATATCTTTCAGCATTTTTCAGTCAGTGACTTTGGCACCGTCAAAAATTATTGTGCGAACACTTTCGAATTAACAAGGAGCGCTTCTACCAGTAGAACATAAATTCCGTTCTACTTTTAGAGTAGTGCCTGTTCAGCCGAATAGAAATAATATTGGTACTGTCTGAGTGCATACCAGCCGAACACACACGCACGTCAAAAGTTGGAATTGAATGCGCAGTAGTGCAGCCAGTCGAATACACTATGAGTCTTGTCTTATCGATAATAAATTGAATCATTTTTAATATCAGAAAATGCCTGGTTATTTAAATATTTCGACTCGACATTCTGCTGAAATTGCTGACTATCAAAAGGTAGTGTGGCTTCAGTGAATTGTCATTACTTTAGAGGGGGACAGGGAAGGAATCTCACATTCATTTCAGTGGTTTTTCGAACATTAAGTCTTGTCTTATCAATATTGAATTGAATCATTTTTAATATCAGAAAATGCCTGGTTATTTAAATATTTCGACTCAACAGTCTGTTGAAATTGCTGACTGGCTATATAAATTCGAAAAATCAGGGGTATACAAACTCAACTGTGGATCTTGTCCTAAGGTATATATCAGTCAGACAGGTCGTACGTTTAATCAGCGCATTCATGAACATAAGATGAATTTTATGAAAAAGAAAACAAATTCATCATACGCCAACCATAAATTTGAAGAAAACCATAGTTTTGATGATAATTTCGAAATTCTACACGTTGAAAATGAAGGACTGAAACTCACTCATTTTGAATCATTAGAAATCAACAAACTCAAAAATTTTAACATTTTACTTAATGATCAATTAGACCTCAATAGTTCACCACTGTTGAATTTGTTTTCTTAGTAAGTAATAATATGTATTTGCTATCAACTTTAAGTTAATCTGGTATACCGTAATTTAATGTAGATATTGTGTCTAATTTCCGAAACTGGAGGTTTCTCGTACCTGTCCACAGGTAACTAATCCTTCAGGTTGGTAAAGTAGGATATATAAAAGTCAAGCAAGCCAACGTTAGTTTAGTTCATTGTACCAGTATCTCACCTGACGAAGCTACTGTGTTAGCGAAACATGTGGTGTGTTTGAGAATTTTCTGGAAATTTGATCGTTTGTGAAGTTTTTACATCAACGTTGATACTACTATTTGGTAAAGCCCTATTGTGTTAATAATAATTATTAACGGCATTTTTTTCGTAATATTTCAATTTATTTCTACATCCCCTATATTCCAAAATGTACAACACATTGTGTAGTAACGGCGTTGAAGATATGCCAATGTAAAATTCTGTTGAAGTTGAGTTTATGGTGGTTGAACATATCAGAATGTAATATGTTGTTTCGAGAAAACTCATTGTTCATCATTTTATCGCACTCAATAAAGCATAAGAAAAATCCCGGTGAAACGGGGTGATCCCAACCTTTTCGAAAATTATCACATTTTCAGATATCACCCAGTAGGTTTTCATGTCGAAAAGATGGAATATCAAAAAAGTACTGACGTTGTACCCAATGGAATGAGTTATCAGACTGTTGAAAGGAATTGAAAATTGGTTGATCCACTCCAAAGTTATGACGGTTCGAAAATGATAGAAGTTTTTGATTGTCTCACTTCAAATGTTGAGCAGTTTACTTATTATATCATCCAGTGGCTCTAATAAAAACGATTCCAATGATGTTCGTGGAAAGGTCTTGGGTTCCGGTAATTGAAAGGGTATTTTTCTAGAGAATGAGGAGAAGACAAAAATTGATTATTGGTCTCGGTAAAACCCAACTTTCAAAACGATTCTTTGGCTCGTTCGCGAGGAACGTCTAATGACGTCGACGTCGACAATGAATCGTTTTGAAAGTTGCGGTGATCGCATAAAATAATTTCAATGATGCGGTGTTGCCGCTCTACCAAGAAGTAGTAGCATCTTTGATATTCCAAATGAAACACCCTGTAGAGCTGATTTCATCGATATATCCCACTTGGGGTCTAGCGGGAATGAGATATAGGGAATGATTAGAGATATAGGGTGTTGAAAATCGAGATTTTTTCAACTCTAGGATTTTTTTTTGCACCAGAACGATTCATTTGCTTCCAGAACGTCGATAATGAATCGTTTTGAAAGTTGGGGTGATCGCATGAAATAATTTCAATAATGCGGTGTAGTAGCATCTTTGATATTCCAAATGAAACAACCTGTAGAGCTGATTTCATCGATATATCCCACTTGGAGTCTAGCAGGAATGAGATATAGGGAATGATTAGAGATATAGGGTGTTGAAAATCGAGATTTTTTCAACTATATTTTTTTTTGCACCAGATCGATTCATTTGCTTCCAGAACGTCGATAATGAATCGTTTTGAAAGTTGAGGTGATCGCATAAAATAATTTCAATAATGCGGTGTTGCCGCTCTACCAAGAAGTAGTAGCATCTTTGATATTTCAAATGAAACGCCCTGTAGAGCTGATTATGAAACACCCTGTAGAGCTGATTTCATCGATATATCCCACTTGGGGTCTAGCGGGAATGAGATATAGGGAATGATTAGAGATATAGGGTGTTGAAAATCGAGATTTTTTCAACTCTAGGATTTTTTTTGCACCAGATCGATTTATTTGCTTCCAGAACGTCGACAATGAATCGTTTTGAAAGTTGGGGTGATCGCATGGAATAATTTCAATAATGCGGTGTAGTAGCATCTTTGATATTCCAAATGAAACACCATGTAGAGCTGATTTCATCGTAATATCCCACTTGGGGTCTAGCAGGAATGAGATATAGGGAATGATTAGAGATATAGGGTGTTGGAAATCGAGATTTTTTCAACTCTAGGATTTTTTTTGCACCAGATCGATTCATCTGCTTCCAGAACGTCGACAATGAATCGTTTTGAAAGTTGAGGTGATCGCATAAAATAATTTCAATAATGCGGTGTTGCCGCTCTACCAAGAAGTAGTAGCATCTTTGATATTTCAAATGAAACACCCTGTAGAGCTGATATCATCGATATATCCCACTTGGGGCTAGCGGGAATGATATATAGAGATATAGGGTGTTGAAACTCGAGATTTTTTCAACTCTAGGATTTTTTTTTGCACCAGATCGATCTATTTGCTTGCAGAACGTCGACGAGTGCACGTCGCAACCCTGCCTCAACAATGGCGTATGCGTGAGCCGAACGGGGGGCGGATATGAATGCCGCTGCCCTTCGGGCTTCTTCGGCCGCAACTGCGACTCGGAACAGGGCAGGCAGCTGCGCCAATGCGACCCCCAACAATGCCCCGCCTACTCGGAGTGCTCGGAGAACGGCCACAGGTGAATACATTATTATTTTCTGCAACCGACACAAAAGTCGTCCACTTCGATACCAAAATTAGCTCTTGAATTGACGTTTCTATTACTGACACAAAAATAGGTATGTTGCTAGGCAACACATTTAGTTCATAGGAGCTAAAGTTGAACTTTAGTTCCTTGGAGCTACAGTTGAACTTTAGCTCCTAGGAACAAAAAAGATGAACTGGACGTCATCAAGAATAAACAACATTGTTAGGGTTGGTTATTTGGGTTGAGACGCATACCTGATTTGTTTCCGATTTTGGCAGATTTGGCATTTCATACCCATGCTGGAGATATAAATACACCTTATTATAGTTGAGTATTGGAATTATAAACATCTCAGTTAAGTTTTTTGTTTTGATCAGGGAAGCCTTCAAGATTTAAATACTTGCTTGCTCTGTATTTTATTCGTTATTATGGGGATGGATAACTTGTTTTTGAATAATCACGGCAAGCAATAGTTTTTTTGTATCAAACAACGATATTGTTGACATTCATTCGATTATCAAGGCAAACACAGTGTAATATGGAGAGGAATAAATAATCGCTATTATTTATTTTATTTATTTATTTCAACAAACAGGTTTTACCCCAATTACATGTTGTGTGTGTATGAATGGTTGATTGAAGTAGTACTTTATTTTCTGCATCAATCACAGTAATGATACTGTTTTTCCAAAAAATACAGTACTAGTCCAAACAACCTGACTAAAATCTAACTAAAATCTATTAATATTATACAAATTATTAACCAAATAAGAATAATTACTGTATTAGTACAGTTTCACTATTTTGTGATAATTTATTTTCTATTTGATTTCCGAATGTAATTACACTATCTCGAAATATGTCACAGTACGTTTGATTTTCGTTATAAAATATAGCCATATTTACATGTGGAGATTTCAGTTGGTAATTCGTCCGAGATGTAGTCATTGCAAATGTTTTGTTATTACTTGCCCGAGTTCTTGAGTTTGGAATTTGTAACTTCACAGATGGAAGAGTAGTACAGTCTTGCGCCATATTGTTGTATATTTTGTATAGATACATCAGGGTGAAGTAAACTCTTCTATTGAATAAGGACATTAAATTATATTTATTGAGATTTGAGGGATAATTTGATATATGGACACTTTGTATAATAAAATTTGCTTGTCTAATGAACTTTTTCTGAACTGTTTCAAGCATTTGTATATACTTCGTATATAAAGGAGACCAAACTATACTGCAATAGTCTTATTTTGCCCGAACAAAACTGTTGTTGTTTATTATTGTTGATATGCTCACTAACCTAACATATTCCACATCTTGTTCCTATAGCTGGCACTGGCGCGGTATTTGCCATTAGAGCACCTGGTCCATACACAAATATGTCACTCTGTGGTTGTATTTATATCGAAACTACAATAATTCGAACATCCTTGAAAATTGAATGAACCTGCTGTTAATGCAGGTAGAATATTCTCACCACACGGATTATTTGTCAATATTTGTTGCATTGCATACATATGGCACGGAATTGGTGGCTACTTCACATATTTATTTGACTAAATTGTTTCGGTTGCAGAAAAAATAGCATGTTTCATTCGGATCAAAAGTGACTTTGTTTAACTCGCAAATTTTGCTTCCGCTCTGGTTCGCTAAACGCTCCGCCTCGCAAATGCAAAATTCGCTTGTCAAACAAAGTGTCACTTTTGATCCCAATAAAACAATCTACTATTTTTCTGTGACGGGAAAAAAGTTTGGCATTTCATCTCTGTTGGCAGGTTATAAAATGTCACATTTCATAAATGACTTTTTACCCGTGGGAAAAAAGTGAGTACCTTTTTCCCGGATATATATCACATATATATACACTGTTGATGGCTTTTGTTGTGCTATAGTGTCAATCAGTTTAACATGTTCATTAGCGCTACAAAAATTCTCCCAGAGATTTATACAATACAAAAAGTTCATTTGCTAATCATATCCTTAATTGTAATCATCACTTTGATATAAATAATGACCTTGAAGTTTTACATATTTGCCATAAGGGCACCCTTCTAAATTTATTAGAGATATTTGAAATTAATGAATTAATTAAAGATGATAACATTATTTCCTTGAACGAACAAACAAATTTTTGTGATTCATTGACATTTGACTCATTACGGCCCTGTTTCTTCTTACATCTCGCCTAACATTCTTTGTTCATGCCACAGGACAGTTTTGTGTCACTTGTCATTGGAGACATGTAGGATACGACTCTGTATTATCTATATCAGTTTATCTTTTATTATGAATGAATAAGTTATGTTGCTATAGTGAGATGAAAACATCATTAATAAAAAATAATAAATCTTCGAGTTGAGGAATATAATTTATATTGAAGATTCATCGAAGTATTTGATGATATCTGTTATAAATGGCGCAGTCGGCAGCAAGAGATTTTATACGCGTAGATTTTGAAAGTGACCAAACTCCAAATATCAGGAATCTTGAACATCAAAATGACATCCAACATGACACTGATAACTATATCAGAATTGATAAAAAGAATATATCACAAGAGGTCCTTACCAAGTGATCAAAGTGAAATATATTGACGGAGTATTGGCATATGTTCATTTCAATGCAGAAGATAAAGAAGAAACAGCACATATTAGCAATATACGCCAGTTTCATCCCAGGAGTGATGATTTCTTTGAAGGGGGAGTTTTGTAGGATACGACTCTGTATTATCTATATCAGTTTATCTTTTATTTTGAATAAGTTATGTTGCTATAGTGAGATGAAAACATCATTAATAAAAAATAATAAATCTTCGAGTTGAGGAATATAATTTATATTGAAGATTCATCGAAGTATTTGATGATATCTGTTATAAGACATACTTCACGTATCCCCTGTCAAGTTAACCCACCCCTCCTTCACCGCTCTACCACGTCATGTTTATCTTGATTCTCATGATGGGCCCCATTCTATCTTTAATCGATTGGATGAACAAGTGTTGGGATCCTCCATAAAGCCCCCTTTGGGCCATGGGCAATTTGCCCTTCATTATTTATTTGTAATAATGTAAATTGTACCATTCAATATTATTGTTGCCTTCTTTTTTTCACTTCCACGTGGGTATACATAACCTAAGGTATGATATTTGTAACTACAGTGTGACCCACTTCTAATGGAACCACCCCTGTATCTTACGTAATTGTTGGGTAAGGATCCTGAAATTTGCTGGAGCGAGAGATATACTAAAAATGCACTCTATGACCAAGTGGGGTCATCTTCAGTGATATACACTGCTCGCCAACAGCCATGAAACTACCCCAATTTCCGGAAAATGATATTAGGAGTCAAAATAGGTTGAAAATCACGTCGGATTCGGAATCAGGACGCCCAAGTTACTAACTATTCGAAGTTTTCCTAGAAGATTTTCAGTTCAGTAAAATTAAAATTTGTCTCACTTCTCATGGAAGCACCCCCGTATCTCACGTATTTATTGAGGTAGGGTTCTGAAATTTGCCGGAGGAAGAGAAAGTCCAAAGATAAAGTCAATTACGTGAGATACGGGAGTGCTTCCATAAAAAATGCGACAAAATTTCATTTTTCCGAACTGAAAATTTTCCAGGAAAAATTTGAATAGTTAGTAAAATGGGCGTCCTGATTCCAAATCTGAAGTGATTTTCGACCTATTTCGACTCCTAATATCATTTTCCGAAAATTGGGGTAGTTTCGTGGCTGTTGGCGGGCAGTGTATATCACTGAAGATGATCTCACTTGGTCATAGAGTGCATTTTTGGTATATCTCTCGCTCCAGCAAACTTCAGGATCCTTACCCAACGATTACGTAAGATACAGGGGTGGTTCCATTAGAAGTGGGCCACACTGTATATAAAAAACTGTTCTTGTTGTCATTCAAAATATGCTACTTCTGATGATGAACTATTGATAATCCGAAACATGTTCAGACAGACACTGATTATTCAGTTAATAAATTCGTGGAGATGACTTAGTGTGTCTTGTTTATGAATCTAATCACTCCACTTTGAGATACCATGGACTTATACCATAGATTATTCATTTTTTGCTAGATGTGCTTGTCGCGCCGAGTTCCCCGGCGAGTTTCCGAACTGCGCGGTGGGCGTGGCACGAGTGGGCGGATCCAATGGAGTGGGCGTGGCAGAAGGAATGGGGGCGTGTGCGGACAATCCCTGTGCAAACGGGGGGAGCTGCGGCGCGTACAAGGGGTACTTCAATTGTACTTGTCCGCCGGGGTTTACAGGTGAGTGTGATGGTTGGTAGGCTTTGAATATTGATACTATCATATAATAGGAAATATTGGGGAGTTCAGTCTATCGGGCTACAAGCAAACTACTTCATTGCTATGCCAAGCTTTCGAAAATTTGTATTTTCTTCTTCAAGGCTGAAACAATATACCGTATATGGAACATTTTGTTACAAGTGAATTCAACAAAAACAAGAACTTACTTGCAATGCGAGTTAAAAGGTATAAATTGGAATCATAATGAGTTTAAAAAGACTGGTTTTAGAGATGGTTGAAATTTAGAATGAGAAATACACTATGAATAAGAAGACAGATATTGATAATCTCAGTCAGATATATGCTTATTTATTATCTTTTGTTCATGATGATATTGACTATACCTCATAAGATATTCATCAACAATCTAATTTTATAATTTCATTTCTTCCGGTATATATATATATAAATTATATGACTTTCGTCACTGTACTATCAATTTTTATGTCTACATCATTTATATTTTTTTAAACTCATTATTATTCCAATTTATACCTCTTTATTGAATTGACTTGTAACAAAATGTTTCATATACGATATATTGTTTCAGCCTTGAAGAAGACAATAAAAATTTTCAAAAGCTTGGCATAGCAATAAAGTAGTTTGTTTGTAGCCCGATTGACTGAATTCCCCGATATTTCCTATTATATCATTAATAATATCAATACAATTCTGTTGTTTATTGTTAAATCTTCCTGTCTGAAGTGTACCCAATAGAAATGCGATGAATAATATTCTTCTACGTATATTATACCATTAACATCGAATTGTAAGAGTGTTTTATTTGAAGGTAATTCAAATAAGGTGAATCGTTTCCTAGTATTTGACGTGAAAAGTGTTCCTCCCCCCCCCCTTTCAACTTTTGAATGGAACAAGCAAGCGAGGTCGGGTAACATTCAGGTAAAAAGGTACCTATTGAACTACTTTTTGGCATGAAAATTGTTGTGGTCACGTGGCCTAGTGCCAACAGGGCACCATTAACTATTTTTCAAATATCACAGGAGGTCACGTGGTCTCCTGGTTTCAGTGTTTTTGAAGCCTTTTTTCGATTCTTTATCCAGCACCGCTTCTTTCGTGTTGATCGGTCAAGCGTGTTTGAAACTGACAAGCGTTTGAAATTCCCCTAGGAAACCTGAAAATATAACGTTCGGAATGAATTCCAAAGCCAATTTCTTTTTCTGTTTATAAATGAACGGTAAAAATTTCGAGCGTTTTCGAGCACATGTTACAATACTTGGAAAATTTGTTGCAATTGAAAGTTCATTTTTTTTAATATTTGGCGTACATTTCAAACGCTTGTCGGTTTGAAACAGCTTTGTCGATTTGCACAAACGAAGCAGTGTTGGAGAGAGAATCGAAAGTCCTCCAAAACCAGGTATCACCTGACCGCCCCTTAACATTGAAAAAAAAGTTGATGGTGTCCTCCTGAATATTACCCGACCTCGCTAGCTTGTTCTGTTCAGAAGTTAAAGGGGTGGAGGACTTTCTACGTTCTCACTGTATGCATATGAGTGTTCATTTGGGGTGGCGGAAATTTGATCGAAAGACAAATGATAGAAAAACATTTGATAGAAGTCTTTTGATCGAAAGTGTTTTTGAAAGAAATGCATTTGATCGAATGTTTTTTGATAAAAAATACATTTGATAGAAACATAAATGATAGAAAATACAATTGATAGGAACAAGTTAGATCAGTACGTTTGTGAAGATATGATCCTTCTTCATATATTCGAGGCGAAGTAGCTAGATGGAAATCGAAGCTTATGAATTTATTGATACCACAAACTTCTAGCTCCTTTTTCTCAAATATATGAGGAAGGATCATATCTTCACAAACGAACTGACCTAACTTGAGCGTAGCCCCGTTGAATTTTTTATCAAATGCTGTTTCTATCAAGTGTATTTTCTATCAAATATTTTTTTTATCAATTGTATTTTCTATCATTTATGTTTCTATAAAATGTATTTTCTATCATAAAACATTCGATCTAATGTATTTTCGGTGAAAAGTTCTTTTTATTTTTTGATTTTTGATCAAAAGACTTCTTTCAAATCTTTTTCTATCATTTGTCTTTCGATCAAATTTCCGCCACCCGTTCATTTGAGCCTATCCTTATTTAAAATAAGGAAAATTGATATTTCTGTTGTGTTTTTTGCATTCAGTTCACTGTTCATGCAAGCCTCCACTGATTACCTTTCAATTTTGAATTATTTTGTAATCATATTTATTTGACATTGCAATTGAATGATTCCTACATCTCATCTATTTGCATGCTGCTTACTAATCCAAGGCCCCGCATGCGGTCTCAGAATTTGCGAAAACGCTTCAAATGGTTCCTATCGCGATTCGAAGTTGATTTGTTCGGAAGAGAAACCTTGTCGGCATGCTGTAGCTTGTCATGATTATGTAAGTTGGTATGATTTCTAGTTTAAGTGAAGGTCAACCCTCATACTTCATATTTTAGTTATGCATAGCAAATGAATGATAACGGTTTGGACAAAAAAAGAATTTTATCTACTCACTGCTTCGAAAGTAAGCGTTTGCCTCCTCATTTAAGGACACAAAGCTGTCAATTTACTCCCACGGGAAAAAAATATCACCTCCCGTGGGAGGTAAAATAAATTTGCTTTAGCTTGCCTTGCTTCCTTGGGAGAGGTTTACCCAAGCACCTAATCAGTGTCTCCATCACCATCTACTATGAAACGAATAACAATTTCCTTTTCCAACTCCAACGATCTCATATACTTCCTCATATTCTAAACTTATTCAATCAAATCAATAATTTCTCAAAAATCTTCGAGCAAACTTTGAAAAGAAGAATTAATAAGTATTTGCATGAAAAAAATATCTTGACAGATAGACAATTCGGATTCATCAATAATTCAAATACAGAACGAGCTGTGTTAGATTTTCTTGAAAAAACGGGCAGTGCCTTGGATAGATCTGAAAAATGCCTCGCAGTTTTTCTTGATCTTGCCAAGGCGTTTGATACCGTTGACCATGACAAGTTATTGGATAAGTTATATACGTGCGGCATTAGAGGACCCACACTGATATTGTTGAAGGATTATTTAACAAACAGGGTACAAAGAGTGAAAATAGAAAACCAACTGAGTGAACCAATGACGGTTAGAATAGGTGTTCCCCAAGGTACTGTACTAGGACCAATCCTCTTCCTCATTTATATAAATAGTATTAGCTCGATTAATAATTTCAAAGGCCACATCATATCATATGCTGATGATACGGCACTGGTTTTCAAAGGTACAACTTGGAATGAGGTAATTACTGAATCGGAGAGAGGTCTAAAACTCATTCAGGTATGGCTCAACTACAATCTCTTGAGTCTAAATGTAACGAAAACTAAATTTGTAACCTTCTCTTTATTACAAAATGAACAACCCGAAATACCAACTATTTTCATACATCAAAACAGCTGTGATAACTCTAACAATTGCAAATGTCCTGTCATAGAAAAGACCAAATCTATAAAATATCTTGGGGTAGTTGTAGACCAGTATCTAAGATGGGATGACCATACCACGTACGTAGCAAAACGGATCAGACAGTTGATCAGAAAAATGTATCTACTTCGTGATATTTTGGATAAGAAGAATCTAAGACTAGTATACAATTCACTGATCGAATCTGTCCTGAGATACTGTATTGCAGCTTGGGGTGGCCTGTTCAATAATTCTATGAACTTTCTACAAACAACACAAAACACAATTCTGAAAATAATTTTGAAAAAATCTAGACTATTTGCAACCAAAGATCTATACAGAGAAACTGGAATTTTGAAAACTAGAGAACTTTACATTTACCACTGCCTGATTTGGATTTTCACAAACAAACACAAATTCGAACCTAGTAACGTAATGAAGGAAACAAGATCTGTCATGAAAGCTTCAATCAAAATACCCATTTTCAAAAAGAGTCACACTCAAAGAGTAATTTTCTATTACGGTCCCAAGTTATTCAACCTATTGCCTACAAGTATCAAGATAATTACTAAACTTCCGCATTTCAAAAAAGAAATAAAAAAATTCATTTCAGATAAACCAGAGATTTCAGACATTTTCAATTGATCTTACAGTCGCTCTCCTTTTCTCATTTCTTCTCACATATTATTTCCCATTTCTCTTCCTGTTCTATGGTATTACTATTGTATTTATATTATATTAGGAAAATATATTAGTACAAGTTCATAATTTTCTCCACGATGGTTGGAACAGAGCACAACACAAGCATCCTGAATGCTTAGGTGTATCTGTTCCTTCCTGACTGGTTTTCCAAAGAATAAGTTATCCACAAATTGTTACTTGTAACTGTTGCTATTGCTGAATAAATTGAATTGAATTGAAATTGAATTGAATTGAAATTGAAATAATCGGAACAACATAAAATGCAACTACACAATGAACAAATCCAATGTGACAGAAGTGTCAAATTGATTTTCATTCGATTCAAATACTGTCAATTGCTACCTTAGATCATGTAACACATTGATTTGGATCGGGACTTGAGAGATACACTGCTTGAAGCACAATTTTTTAAGAACGACCCTCTCAAATATATGCGTTCGTGGATAAAATCATATATATATATATCTTGGGAGCAAAGGTTCATTTCCTCCCATGTGTCAGGCATCAAACTTCACACACGTTTGCTCCCTCGATATATAAATAGCTATTTTTGGAAAGATTCAACTAAATTATTCAGTCATAAAGTCAGTGACATATGCGAAACAAGTTTGTTATCAGAGTATTGAAGAAATTCCTCTGGGTGATTAATTGTGCATAAATACCTGCATATAAACACGTGCTTTTCATTTCATCGCTCTGCTAGTGTCATAGCTTTTGTCATCTATCATTACCCCAACATGTTCCCTCTACATACAAACTGTAATACAATCGAAGACTGGAACATTTGTCACGATAATGCACTACACTGTTTTACC